TCAGGAATCCAAAATCATTCCTGGTGGCTACCCAGTCATCATTCCTTGATATTAATATCTTTGTCCAGAGTTGACGTAAAGATTGTCCTGTTGTGCACTTGAGGAGAAAACTTTTTGGCCTTTAAAAACTGGGAGGTCCGCAGAAGTACTTCAAGCATTGAATAAGTAGCCACGCATGGTGCTGTAGGCCTCGAATTCCTGCACTGCAGAGGCTGGGGCAGAAGGAACCCAAGGCCCATCTGACCTGCATGACACTTTGATTCAAAAAACAAACAGGGAAGGAGTTCAGTGGTGTGTAGATTTGTGGGCACACATTAATAATACCATGCATATAAGATAGCCCTCCCTATAGTATGATCTAGTCAAAGCCGTGTTAAGGCTTTTAATTGTAATTAAAGGGGGAAAAACAACCCTTGGGCAAATATTTGTCTTTAGGCATAGTTTTATTCAGTAGTTTTTTTAAAAAAGAATCTTGTTTAATTGTAAGTTGTCTCTAAAACGCTGAATGATAGTTTAGCATTAGGTAGAATTAGCTTAATCTGTGGGAGCTTTTTGCTGTATATTCTGTGAATACTGTGTGGTAAATACTGTGTGATATACTGTAGATTGGGGCATTTTTCATTATATGATGAAAGAAAATAATTGTGGCAAGTGGTATCTAATAAGGAATATTTTCTTTCAGAGCCAATAGAATTGAAATCTGATAAATTGGTAAAACAAAAGACAAGTTAGTATTGGAAGTATAGTTTTTGTTTCTAAGATGTATGCATCCAGGAAGAAGTCTAAAATGTATTTATATTTAAAGCATTTTTTTAAAATTCAGCTTGGGGGCTTAGAAGATGGCTCTGTAGGTATCTCACCACTTGAACTTGAAACCTGAGCCCCTGTACGAACCAGGCATGGTGACATGTCTGTGACACCACTGTTCCCAACTTAGATGGGAGGCAGAGACAGAGCTCCTGGAGGCTTCTGAGCCACTTAACCTGTCCTGCGCCGCAGTAAACAACGAAGCCCTGTGTCACACGAGTCAGAGGGCAAAGACCAGCACCCAGATACACGCCCCAGTTTGTCCTCTGACTTTTGGCCATGGTTGAAGGGGAGCTTTGAGTCTATAAGAAAACAAAACAAACAAAACACCCAGTCTATAAAGAAATTCGTCCTTTTTCTACTTTCTGCAAAGAAATAACAACCATGGGAGCTAGCGTTCTTCACTCATCTGCCTGTTTTCTCTGTATGTTTCTCTTAATTTGCTTCCATACATTCACCCGGTGACTGTTTATCCCTGGCCCCTCTTCTACATTCCAGTCATGAATTTTTAAGCTGCCTGATAGACTCTCTTGTCTACTGGCCCCCTCATTCTACACATGCTATTTGTGTTTTTTTTTTCTAATTTTCCTTTAAACAGTACCTTACTTTTTAGCCCAGGCTGACCATAGATTAATAATCCTTTTGTTACCTGAATGCTAGAATGACAAGCATGCCCGCACATTCTTGTTTAGTTTAATATGATTCACTGGTAGGTCTGTTTCTTTCATGAGAGATTCTTCCAGTTAGGTTTAACTTAACGTATGTCTTCCATCTTTCCTGTTTCTTCACCTCTTCTGAGTTAATTTTTACTGTAACCCCAAATTCAGAATCACAGTGCTACTTTTTGAAAGCTTTGTTTCTTAGAATAATACTAAATTAATTTTATCTACCTCATTAATATGCCGTCAATCATTTTTATCTTTCCACCTATTGCAGAAAAGATAGTAAATATTAAAGACTATCATTTTTGTATCTTGCATCATTTTGTACCTTGTCTTGGCCTAACTTATAGTTCATATTTGAACTTTTATACTTGGGAGGTTATTATGTAAATTTTTTCAAGTATATAGAGGGGGTAGATAGAATTTCTTTATTCCTTGGAAGCTCATGTGTTAAACAAATCAAAGCTGACGACACAGCTCAGTAGTAGAGCCTTGAGTTACCAACATTCCTAACATTACCAAAATAAATGCTGGAGTTCTTTTACTTCAGGAAATTAATTTAGTTCCAACTCAGTGTCATTGCACTTCAGTCTTTTAACTCAGCCACAAATAGCACCCTTATTTGATGAACTTTTGATGTTTGTTTCTTCAGTTGGTTTTGGGTCTGTCTTGGCCTTGGTTGGCCTCTAGCTCACTGTGGAGTCTACGCTTCAGACTCGTGGCAGCCTTCCCCTACAGCCTCATGAGTTCCGAGCGTGTAGGTACGCACCGTTGCATCTGGCTTTAGTTGTATTTTGGAGGTTGATGACTAAAAATTTTAAAAGTCAAGTTGCTAGAGGATGATTAAGAAGGTAATATTTTTTTTTGTCCGTGATCAACACCATTAATTTTCTAACTTAATATTTCATAGAAGCTAGACAATACTTGTTTCCTGAACAAGTGTTCATACTGTGGTAGAAACTAGCATAATTGTTAGATCTTCAGCTTTGATGTGAAATCCTGATAAGCACCCACAGCAAAAAGTTTAGGATGCCTGCATACTTTTGCATTGTTCAAAAGACACCCACATTGCTATTTAGGCATTGGGAAAGTAGCTGATTAGGGACATACATAATCAGTTTTCTTGTAAGAGAGACGGAAAGAGATGCCTTTTCTGTGTATATTATAGACTTTATATTCCAGATTGAAAACTAAGAACTTTTTGCCTAAAAGTTAATAAATTGATAGGCAGGCTTTTTTCTTCTTGTGGCTCTATTTGAATAATTGAACAGCTAAGGGAGTTGGTGAAATCTGGAGTAAGAGTTTCTTTTTTCTGTTTAGAATCAACATTGATCCTCTGCTGTCTGGGAAGCACTTAACAGCAGGGGATTCTAACTAGGATTGTGATTATGACGCACTGCCCTTTCTACCCATTTTATTAAGGTTAATGTCTACTAACTAGTTGCCATATTTACACCAGATTCTACATAGGGAGAGGAACAATAATAGGCTAGAGGCAAAGGAAGATTGTGTGAGTGTGTAGATTTGCCTTTGTGGTTAGACATAACATACACACTCTTCTCTTCTTGTTTTTGGTTTTTCGAGATGGGGTTTCTCTGTACAGCCCTGGCTCTTCTGGAACTCCCTCTGTAGACCAGGCTGGCCTTGATCTCACAGAGATACTCCTGCCTCTGCCTCTTGAGATTCAAGGTGTAAGCCACCACTGCCTGGCTATGGATAACTTTCTATAACTCATTTCTTGTAATCATTGTATTCAGAATTCACTTAATTATGCTGAAGTACTAAAATCAGATTTAAAAATTGGATTTTGTACTTAGAAAAATAACCAGTACTCAAAATGATAACTGTGTTATGTTTTGTTCTCTGGTGTTGACTATGAATTGAGCGTCAGGATGATGGTGTGAAGGCTGTAACTTTAGACTTGGCACCTGTCGTCCAAGCCATTTCCTTCCAACCCTCACGCTTTGTTAAGTCTTTGTAATACTAGTTTGCCTGCATTAGGCCTTGGATTCCAGTAAGGACTGAACAGGTAAAAGCACTGAGAAAGGAGGTAGAGAATAAAAACCTAAGAGCTACAGAATTAGATATGAAACTTTACCTAAGAAGTAACGGCTAATAATGAGTCCCCACTGTGTGATGTGTGAAAAGTCAATAGACTGATGACTCAGAGCAGGTAGGGTCAGTGTGGGGATGAAGTTCTCAAGGAATCTTAGGAATCTTGAGGATCTTCTGTATTGGTTGTGTGGAAGAATTTTGAACAGGGTGATGATGGTGCAGGCCTCTAATCCCAGCACTCAGGAGACAAAGGCAGACAGATCTCTGAGTTCAAGGTCAGCCTGGTCTAGATCAAGAACAGTCAGGGCTATACAGAGAAACCCTGTTTTCAAACCAAAAAACACCTCCCCCAAAAAAACATTGTTAATGTTGATATTTCAGATGTAGGAAAGGGTGTGGCAGCTAGGTGATATAAATCTGTGCTAAAGAGCTCTGTGTTGGTTGTGGTGGCACATGCCTTTAATCCCAGCACTTGGGAATTGACAGGCAGGTGGATTTCTGTCAGTTTGAGGCCAGCCTCATCTACAAAGCCCAGGAAAGCTCTCAAAAAACAAAACAAAACAAAACAAAAAAAAGCCAGAGGCCTGGTGTGCGCTCTCTCTCTCTCTCTCTCTCTCTCTCTCTCTCTCACACACACACACACACACACACACACACAAAGATGATGAGAGAATGAGATTTTCTCGAACTGGGACAGGCTGTCCTTGAAGTGTTGGGATTACATGTCAATCCCACCATAGGCCTATCAGCAAAGTAGTCAGCAGTCACTGCATACTCGAGGTACCACTAAGATATAAAAACACTTGTTATTGTGATGTTCCATGTAGCTTAGGCTGGGTCCAGATTTTGAACTCAGACAATCATCTACTCTGCTTTCTTGAGTGCCAGGAATATTGATTTCTGCCACTAGGCCCGTTTTTTAAAATTGGAAACATTAAAGTGGGTTTACGTCATAGTTAACACTCAAGTTTTACGTTTCCTTTTACTTTATTGCTTTGATTTTTCTAAGATAAACTGTTGAGAATCCTGTTATTATGTTGAAATGCTTGAGCCAAGCTATTTGGCCCTCAGTTATGAGTGCTGAAAACCCTGAGAGCACATTTGGTAAGGGCTTCCTTGTCCGTGTCGCCTTATAGGGCAGTGGAATATCAGGAGAGTGTGCAAGTGTGAGCACTACATCACCCCAATCCATGACACACATGCTCACAGGGTAGCCCCCCTGTGATGCAGGGACCCCAAACGAGGCCTCCTCTCTTCATGGTTCCACATCTCCAGTCGCCCTACACTGGGTACCAGACTCAGAATTCATGAACCTGTATGGGAAACAAACCATGTAGTTACCACGTTTCATTCTTGGAAGTTTTTCTTATGTTATCCTAAGTGTGGTTAACCTTGTTTAGTCACGTTTGTTTTTATCAGGTGATTCAAAATTGTATCTAATTTTTAATCTGCATTCATATTTCTTTCTGTAACCAGGAACCATTTGAGGATGGCTTTGCAAATGGAGAAGAAAGCACTCCCACCAGAGATGCTGTGGTCACATACGCTGCTGAAAGTAAAGGAGTTGTAAAGTTTGGCTGGATCAAGGGTGTATTAGTATGTATGCATAGGTTCCATTTGGTTACAGTCTTTCTGTTGATTAGAAAACTTAGCTGATATTCTTAGGAAGATTATTATTTTTTTTACTTTAGCTATTTGTTTGTGAGTACTATGAAAGGCCCAGTTAAGGCCTTTTGTTTCTTTTGTCTTTAGGGGAGAAATGTTTATTAATTATATACATCATCTGGATAAAATTAGAAACTCACACTTTTATTTTTGGTAGAGTGGGTCTTTGGCCTAGAACTTGAGATGTACACTGTGGTAGTCTCAAACATGCAGTCATTGTTTTGCTTCTGAATCAGTTGGATAATACACAAATAGGAACACAGAATAAAAAAGTTAATATATGTCTAAGTTGTGGGAGTATCATACTCAGTTTAAAATTTTGAAAAATGTAATCCATTGACATTTATGTTGGTGTACATGCAATATTTAACTCTGCCTTAACCATTCATAACATGTTACGAATGTATATGTAAAACTTAGGTGATAAAGGCAAATTGCTAAAGTCTTATCCAAGTGTAGTGGCACAGGCCTTTAATCTCAGCACTCTGGAGGCAGAGGCAGACAGTTATCTAAGTTCAAAGCTATTCTGGTCTCCATAGTGAATTCTAAGACAGCCACAGAAAAATCCTGTCTTGAAAACACACAAAACAGAAACAGAGTTGAAGTCTTAAGACTAGTCTTCTGTGGTGTTCCGATCCTTGTGGTGAGCACATTTATTTGTAAACACACTTACATTGCACTTACATTGGCTAACAGTAAGCTCTCAGTAAGCTGCTTTGACAAAGTTTAGGAAACAGAGTTTGATTTCAGAACTCCTCTGTGATTTCAAGTGCATTTTATCGTTTTACGTGTTCAGTATCTATTGTTATATCGTGTTTTAATTACATTTCTTTGTCTGACATGTGACCTCTTTCTCCCAGGTGCGCTGTATGTTAAACATTTGGGGTGTGATGCTCTTCATTAGATTGTCATGGATTGTGGGTCAAGCTGGAATAGGTAAGGGAACTTTTCACTGCTTAATATTTATGTCTTAATAGCTATGTGCCTGTCTACAATTGCTGACGGAGCTGTGTTGCCTTTATGTAGATTGCTACCATAATTGACTTTCATAATTTTGATTTCATTCCTTAAAAATGAGATTAGAATTAGGTAGTTTACAGCCTGTGTCTTAGTTGTCTGTTTTTGTGAAGAAACACCATGACCAAGGCAACTTATAAAAGAAAGCTTTTAGTTGAGGGCTTGCTTGTAGTTTCAGAGGATGAGCCTCTGAGCATGGCAGCAAGCATATAGGCGTGACATGGAAGCAACAGCTGAGCTCACATCTGATCCACAAGCAAAAGGCAGAGAGAGGGAGACTTGATCTGCTGTAGGTTTTTGAACCCTCAAAGCCCACCCCCAGTGACACACTTCCTCCAACAAGCCTATACCTCGTAACTCTTCCTCAGCAGTCCACTAGAAACCAAACATTTAGATGCGTGAGCCTCTGGGGCCATTCTGACTCCAAACACCACTGTCTATAACGATAGTGCAGTGCTTAGCCTAGCCAGTTCTAGGCAATGACAAGTTTGCATGAGGTTCTTAGTTTCTTTTTCCTCCTTTAAAGGTCTCTCCGTCCTGGTAATCATAATGGCCACGGTCGTGACAACTATTACAGGATTGTCTACTTCAGCAATAGCTACCAATGGTTTCGTAAGAGGAGGTGAGCCCAGCTGGCACAGGCCCTACCTGGAAGATAAATTCATGCTTCTTAAGTTCCTGCATCTTCTTCGGTGCCCAGAATCCTGTGTCTGCAAATCCATCTGTGTTCTCTAGAGCTTGTCCTTGGCACTTTTTTTGAGTGCTGTTGATCTTGCACTTAGACAATATTGCTTCGCAGCCCTGTCACTCTGACCTGCATTCTTGCATTGCACAGACCAGCCTTTTCCTGTCTTCAGCTGAATACAGACTATAGTAGACAACAGTCACGGCAACTTTTAAAAAGATGAATATTGTAAATTCTAGTTGTTGAGCTTACATCTGTTCATTAATATGAACTTGCCTATTGTATTGGTTAGGTGAAGTATATTTGACTTGTATGCCATCAGTCAGGTAATTGTTGAGCCCCTGGTAGCAGATGCTGGGTTTGTAACAGTGTCAGGCTAAGTCCAGTTTTCTTAGGGATTAAGATCATATAGTAATAGTAGCCATTGTTTGAGACCTTAGTTCTGGGAGTGCTGCCATGGTTTTGGCATACATTTTCTTGATGAATGCAACATTGCTGTTTGCTACTTTTATTATTTGTATGACTAATGAGACTAAAAATGAAACAGTTATGTTCATGTTTTAGCAAAATTTAAACTGGATATCGATTGTACTGCTTCATCTCAAATGTCTAAAAACAATTTTTTTTAAATAATTGGAAGCCGCCTCATTTATGTATCAGTAAAGCCAAAACACTGAAATTGAGGAAAACAGCATTTTCCCACGTGACAAAAAGTTCTATATTAGTAAAATCAGTTTATCATTGGTTGTCAAGTATTTTGTTTTAAACACATTGTTTAACTATGGATTACTACTATTACCAAGCAAGAACTGCTATAGTTCTTTCCTGTGATATGTAAGTTTCTTCAAGTTGTAACTTTCAGATCAATGAAACATTTATACAAGGTACAAAAGGCAGCTCTGAAATTTCTGTTTTATTAAGGCAGTTTTCACTACAATGCTTCCTGTGAACATGACCAGTCTTCTGGGGTGTTTCTTATGAAAACACATTCACCTACTTGGCTGAATCTGCTTTGTGAATTCCTTGGTCTAATTAAGAGAATTGTTGGCATCACAACCCTAACTGGTTTTCATTCTTTTTTAGGAGGAGCGTATTATTTGATTTCTAGAAGTCTAGGGCCAGAATTTGGTGGTGCAATTGGCTTGATCTTTGCTTTTGCCAATGCAGTGGCAGTTGCTATGTATGTTGTTGGATTTGCAGAAACTGTGGTGGAACTGCTTAAGGTAATTGGACCAAGTCATTCATTTGCCATATCTTCACTGAGAGGATACACACACATGCATACATCTTAACCTATATGTGAGCTTTAAAAAATGCTATTTACATTATTGACTTTTATAAGTAATTTTGCTTATAGGAACAGTATGATTTTGACAAAAACATGAATTTATCCTTTATTCCTCTTGTATCGTAAAAGACCAGTAAAGCATGAGTTCACTAGTCCCACCAAACCCAGAATACATTTCTGTTATGCTACTTTATAAAACCCAAACGTACCAGTCAGATTATAATTTTCTTGGTTAGTAATTCCTTTTTTGATTTATTAGGTCCATATCAGATATACCAGTATTAATAATTTATTAGTAATTTAATGAGACATTAGATATAAAAGATAACTGAATGACAACTAAAATTAATCTTTTTTCTTTTCTTGATTTTGAGACAGGGTCTTGCAATGTGGCTGGCTAGGAACTTGTAGTATAAACCAGGCTAGCCTTAGTCCTTCTGCCTCTGACTTCCAAGTACTGGGAATGCAGACATACTTCTGTCCATTCCTTTAATAAGCACTGATGCAGTGTTGCTATGTAAGGAAGTGTTGATTATGTTTCTCTTGCAGGAGCATTCCATACTTATGATAGATGAAATCAATGACATCAGAATCATCGGAGCCATCACGGTGGTGATTCTCCTGGGGATCTCTGTAGCTGGGATGGAGTGGGAAGCAAAGGTGATGTGACAGAGCTTCTGTAGCCCTCAGTCCTCACACTTAGTGTTACAGGGAGCTCAAACCGGCATCTTCAGAATCAGGTGGAAAAAGTGGCCGTTTTTATAGACGTTTAGGAAGTTTAAAATGACATATTTGAAGGTAACACACTTTGAATCCAGTTAAACATCCCTTTCCTCATTTGTATGCTTGTTTTGAGTACTTAAGATTTGAGCCCAATGCCCCTTGTGTGGTAGGCATTATGCCTATCGCCAAGTGTATGCCAGTCCTTCATTTATTTATATATGTAACAAATTGACTTTATTGAAAAGATTATAATTTCATGCTACTTGGGCCACAGTTAATGTATAAGAAGTTCTTGCTGGATTAAGGTGCTTACTTTAGAGGCCCTGTGGTCTGATTTGCTTTCCTGGATGCCACAGAAAGGTGGAAAGAGAGATCCAACTCCTAAAGTTTCCTCTGAGCGCCACACATGCACTGTGGCACATATGGCTTCCCTCCCCATAGTAATCATACTTTAAAATGCTTTTTAAGTTTTGTTTGCACAGATGGCACAGTATTTACCGCTTTTTTCTTTTCTTTTTTTTTTTTTTTTTTTGAGAAGCTAACATTGGAGAAAAATTGTTGGTGGTGCTCAGGCTTTCTCCCCTTTCAGTGTCATGTCCCCTTGAGTTCCTCACTTGCCACTTCTTTCTGCTTCTCCTTCTTTCCAAGAGCAGTTGCAGACGGATACAGCATTATGTTTGGACCTGATGTGAAACTTGTGTTGCTGTCAGACATATTCTCCCTGTCAGATGCTACTCTTGGTGGGGTGGTAGGGGATGGTTGTATAGAAGGAAAAGCCTGTGTGGCTTGATTTTGTCCATAATTGAACATTCTCAGTTTTCTAGCTAGCTCAGAGCGCGGACTAGTCTGAGACTTGTGATCCTTCTGCTCTGGGCTCATGACACTGTGCCTGGCTTTAAGACACCGTTCTTTAAGAGCGTGATTCATGTAACAGCATTTATTGACTACCTACTGAATGCTTCACATTCTTTAAGACATTTGGCAGAAAGGCAAAATAAGAGAAATCATCTGTGTCATGCGAGTGAGTACAGCAGGCAAGGTTGTAATTTCTAGTATTTAAAACTGCAGGCTCAGATTGTCCTGCTGGTGATTCTTCTCCTGGCCATCGCAGACTTCATCATAGGAACATTTATCTCACTGGAGAGCAAGAAGCCCAAGGGTTTCTTTGGCTACAAATGTAAGTAAAAAGATGGAATACTTTCTTAAGTGCAAATTACAACATTCTGTTGTTAACTAAATTTAGTACATTTTAGGTATTTTGTACTGTAATTAAGTTTGGTCGGTGATTCACACTAATTCTTAATTCAGTTTTGGCCCCCTTTAAGTAGGCTGTACCACTAGAGTAAAATTGCTTTCATTTTTGTCTTTTGTGTTTCGGTGTTAGCACCCACCGGTGGCAGAATGTAAAGAAGCTAGTGTTACTAAGGAGAAGGTGCAATGTGGCTCTCATTTTATGTCCAGTTATGTGTTTCTTGGTGATGGGAATGTGAGAAACGTGCCTTTAGGTGCTCTTAGTATTACACAAACACCTTAGGGTTTATTTACTGAAACTACTATGTCTATGATCTCATCAGACTGAATAAACTTACAGAATTCACTATGTATACTGCCCATCATTAACCAAAGTGCTACTTGGCTTGCAACTTTTTAGACATAACAGTTGAAAAGTGCTTTGGACCATGAAAGCAGATAGAAGTCACAAAAATTATGACTTTCTACCTCTAAATACTTAAGTTCCTCTCTGCTCAGGAAATGGACAGTTCAGGGAATTTGTCTTTGGTATGATACACAGATGCAAGATATTTCAGGTCCTCGAGGGCATCCTAATGGCAACTGCTGATTTCCCTGCTTAGGGTCAGTTGCATTAAGTTGTTCACTTTTCTTTCCTTTTTAAAACAAAACAGAGCCACGACTCATTATGTCCTCTTCAATCTCATTAGGCTTTTTTGTCTTCTGTGATGCTGACAGTTTTCAAGAATATAGATACTTACTTGTTTCTATGTATGTGTGAGGTCATCTCTCCAGGTGGGTTGTTTACATTAGCAAGATAAGTGATGTGTCCTCAGTGCCCAGAATAGGGGTTCTGAGTGATCTGAGCTGTCACTACTATGATGTTATTAATTTTTATCTCTTTGTTAAGGTGATGACTAAGAGTCTCTTCTGCTGGGAAGTTGCCAGGGGCTTCTGTCTAGTCAAAATGACAGAACAGCATACATTGTTTTGTCTTCTTCCTTAGTCATATTCTTCTCCTTTTTGAAAGGCTTTTCCTTGTTGCCTGTGAGACTGATGTTCTGCTCGACTCAGTGATGGCTGTATCTATTCCTCCTTCTACCCCTCTTAGTTAGGATTACTCTTGCTACGATGGAACACATGATCAAGAAGCAAGTTGGAGAAGAAAGGGTTTATTTGGCTTACAAGTCCATGTGCTGTAAGCAGTGACAGAACATCACGTGATACTGTAAATAGAAGGAAAAATGGACATTTCATTTAGTAGTATGATCAGTCTGAGGCTGAGAAGAATAAAGGAGAAGAGATGAGAGAAGGAAGAATGAGAAGAGATGAGGTCTAGGGACTCTGTTTGCAAGCACCATCCAGGATGGTCTTTGGGAAACCAGACAACCATTAGGTGGTTGTCTTACGGTTACTGTTGCTGTAATGAAACACCGTGACCAAGAGCAACTTGGGAAGAAAAGGGTTTATTTGGTACCACATCACTGTTGATCACTGAAGGAAGTCAGGACAGGAACTCAAACAGGGAAGGAGCCTGGAGGCAGGAGCTGATGCACAGGCCATTGAAGGGTGCTACTTACTGCCTTAGTCACCATGGCTTGCTCACCCTGCTTTCTTATAGAACCCAGAACTACCAGCCCAGGGATGGCACCACGGGCTGGCTTCAGATTAGTGTGTTTCCTATTATTTCCTTAATCCTTTCTTGAGGGTTTTTGTTTGTTTATTTTTGTTTTCAATTTGGGGGAAAGTGGGGCAGTAACCAATACTTGTGATTTTGGGTTGCGTTAGTGATAACAATTAAGTTTGGAGGTTCTTAAACAATCACTGTTAAGAACCAAAAAGTAGGACATAACAGATCACTAATCACTAATTTGATCATGAACTATATTTCTTCATTCCAGAAAAGAGCAGCACTGATACTGAACTAGAATTAAATAAGAGTGACCAGTTGGGTGGAGACCATATAGTCTGATTACTATTAACTTATATTATATTGGTCTTATTTGCTGTCCAGTAATTGCCACAATGTTTTGTCCTCTGTAGCTGAAATATTTAATGAGAACTTTGGGCCGGATTTCCGAGGGGAAGAGACTTTCTTCTCTGTGTTTGCCATCTTTTTCCCTGCTGCAACTGGTATCCTAGCCGGGGCAAATATCTCGGGTGACCTCGCAGTAAGTATTCCTGTATCAGTTACTGACACATTAAAAATGCTGCACGTGCATCCAACTCTATAAAGATAGACTAAAACAAAATCTTGTCTTCTAGGATCCTCAATCAGCCATTCCCAAAGGAACACTCTTAGCCATTTTGATTACTACAGTGGTTTACATAGGAATTGCAGTGTCTGTAGGTAAATAGCCTTCGTTTCTTCGTGTGTCTCAGAGATTTTGTGATGTTCGTAGCATAAATATTATTGTGGCATTTTCTGCCTTTAACATTCCAACATACTTTTGGTAAAAAGGCACAGAGCATTTTGCCTGTTTGAACCCAGAGACAGCTGAAGGAGAGCTAGTCATGACTTACAGGGACAGAGAACCACCAGATGCTTTGCTGAGAACTTATTCATGACAGTGAATCAGAAGTCCATGTAAAGTTTACCTGCAAGCTCACATTTTATTTACACATTTGAGATATATTTTCATGTGGAAGTAAATTTTATGCTTTAATATTAAAGTTTTAAAGAATTGGGAGGCCCAGGCAATCCCTCACACACTACTGTCCATGCCCCTATTCATTCTCACACCAAATTTTAAACTCTGAATTTATTAATGTCACAAGAAGAGGTTTCCATGCATACCTAGTAAGAATACTGTAATTTTACCATATTTTTTTTCATATTTTCTTCAGAAGTAGCAACAGAACTCTATTTCCAAATTTTATAGCTATTTCTTAGGTAATTTTGAAATTTGAACAAAAGTTAGAAATGCTAGCAGTACCATGATGGTCTATATTACCTTTTAAAAATTATTTTGGATTTAATTTATTCTTAATATATAATTCTGAAATTGATTTGAGAAAACAAATATGTATATAAGCATACTAATTTAACAAAATGTGTGTTTCTCTAAAACGTTGAAGTATACTTATATACTATATAGCCTAGCAAAATAAAATTTATTTTTAATTTAACTAATGGCATAATTGATTATATTCCAACTTTTAAAATAATTTGTTGTCACTTATACATTTCTGCTTTGGTCGGAGCCTGTGGTGCTGCTAGACCTCATGTCACTTCATTCCATCTGTACTCGGGAAGCAGTGGGGTTGCCCCTTCTTCCTGGTATTCAGGAGTCGGGCCAGTGAAGAGCTCTGCACCAGTGGGTGTATAACTAGTTCAAAGCACCTAAAGATGTCAGTGCAACCACACAGACGTAGTGCAGAATCCTGGTGCTCAGCAGACAGAAGCAGGGTTTTCTCTTTAATGTGTGCAGCCTGGGCTAGACAGTGACTCCAAACAAAGAACCCAGGCACCAGCCTTGAAAGTATGGCTGCTTACAGGCTGATTAGAATCACAAGGCTCTTTTCTCTTTCCAGTCCTGTAAGAGCTCACAGGTGCATTTAGCCAACATGGTTGAAAGATAGAAGAAAAAAATAACAAAGTGTTCTGTAATCAATCCAATCACAAAAATATTTATACAAGGGGTTTCCACCATTTCTGGAAACACACTTTTTCTTTATAGGTTTAGTTTAATTATTTAAATTTTAGTGTCCCCAAAGCTTCTCTTACTTCAATCAGAGTAAGGTTATATGTAAACATAGTGTATTCTGTCATGAATGTGTACCTAGACAGTATTGTGATTTCTTTATGAATGGATGTATAATTTTAAGAGGAATGCAGATAGGAGTTATTCACATTGTTCTTTGTGCTTCAGGTTCTTGTGTTGTTCGGGATGCCACTGGGAATGTTAATGATACCATTACAACAGAGCTAACGAACTGTACTTCTGCAGCCTGCAAATTAAACTTTGATTTTTCCTATTGTGAAAACAATCCTTGCTCCTATGGACTTATGAACAACTTTCAGGTATGCACTGAGTTTATAGTATATAGACGTTTTGTATTCATCTAGGGATTAGACCCCTATGAAATCTATGAATTTAGAATATAGCTGTACATTAGAAGGGAAGACAGTTGTTACTTTCTGCCCCTCCTACTAAACTGTATCAGCACTAACTAGGCAAATGGAAAACCATGAAAGAGTAAATAAACTGTTCATGAATAAAACAAAGCCCTTAAGAGTTCGCTTTTCTAGTAGTGTCCATAGCATGTATACATGCAGCTACTGGTATACTTCAGAAAGGAAAATGTGGAAATTTTATATGTAAAACATAATTAATAAAGTAGTGGGAATCTGAATATTTTTGGAACTTAATATTTATAATTGTAAATATTTCATAATATAACTTTTTGAATAAATTTTAATGGCATTTTATTTTTCAGTGTATACTTTCAAGCAATTTATTTGTGTTAATTGTAAGTGCTGGATTCAATTATGTCATACAAGTTTGTGTTTTCTACTCACAAGATTAGGCAAAATTATAGTAATGAAAATATTCATGCTAAGCTAATGATTCATGCCACTTCTGACATTGATATCATGAATAAAAGATACAAACGTTGGCCTCTCTCCAGTACTGAGAATGCTAGTCAGATTTTTATGTTTCCTAGAAATAAAAAGCTATGTTCTTTATGATCTTGTATGGACTCATTTGAGTAAAGCTCTATTTTAATTTAAGTAAGTGAAACTTTTTTGTTTTTTGAGACAGTTTCTCTGTGTAGCCTTGGTCATCATGGACTTGCTTTGTAGATCAGGCTAGCTTTGAGCTCACAGAGATCTGCCTACCTCTTTCTTCTGAGTGCTGGGATCACAGGCATAAGTAAAATTTGCAATGCCGAGCTACCACGGGCCACATCCGAGCAGAAGTTCTAGGTTATATCCATAGATGGTCCTTGGTTGAGTGTCAGTCTCAGAAAAGACCCTGTGCCCAGATATATTTGGTCCTTGTAGAGCTCCTATCCTTTCCATATCATACTAACTTCCCTTCTTTCATATGATTCCCTGCACTCTGCCGAGGGTTTGGTTATGAGTCTTAGTGTCTGCTTTGAAACACTGCTAGGTAGAGTCTTTCAGATGCCTTTTGTGGTAGACTCCTGTCATAAGTTCAATGCACATCCCATTTGTCTTTCTAAATGAGGATTAATCACCTTCACCTGTGTCCACTTTCTTGATTTTCTTCTTTAGGTGTGTAGATTTCATTATGTTTATCATATCTTGTAGGTCTATATAAGCGAGTATATACCAAGTTTGTCTTTCTCCTTCTGGGATACTTCACTCAGAATGATCTTTTCTAGATCCCACCACTTGCCTGCAAATTTCATGATTTCCTCCTTTTTGATTGCTGAGTAGTATTCCATTGTGTAAAAATACCACAATTTCTGTATCCATTCCTCCGTTGATGGACATCTGGGTTGTTTCCAAGTTCTGGCTATTACAAATAAAGCTGCTACGAACATGGTTGAACAAATGTCCTTGTTGTAACCAAGTAGTTTTCCAAAGTAAGGGGAACACGGACTATTTCTAACAGGATCTCAAGGGCAGGCTGTTTGACCCCCCCCCGCCCCCCAGGGGAGGAGCAGTCTGTTAGGCCACAGAGGAGGACTTTGCAGCCAGCCCTGAAGATACCTGATAAAACAGGGTCAGATGAAAGGGGAGGAGGTCCTCCCCTATCAGTGGACTTGGAAAGGGGCAGGGAGGAGACCAGGGAGGGAGTGTGGGGTTGGGGAGGGAATGAGGGAGCGGGATACAGCTGGGACACAGAGTTAACAAAATGTAACTAAAAAGAAAAATAAAATAAAACAAACAAACAAACAAACAAACAAAACACATTAACTGAAGATTATGGGACTTCTATCCCACAATCTCAGCTAACTAATATCTCAATTTCAAATTTGCCAACTTATGGATTCTATTCATGGGGCAGTTTATTATCAGCAGAAATAAAACATTTTATAAAGCAAAAATATACTATAAGCCATTTCTTAAATGTAAATAGGAAACAAATTATAACTTTTAAAATATATCCCGCGGTGAGAAGCATATAAATTCTTCTTTAGGTAAAAAAATACAGTGGACCTAATGATTATAATGGGTACATTAATGAATAAAATAGAAAACAAAGAAAAAAAAATTTGCAATGCCATGGGAAAAAATGCAAAATGCTGATGATGGAGGAAATCCTGTGTTATTTAGAGAGTGAGAATAGTTGCTATAATATGTATGTAAACATTGTAAGTTACACGCTGCCGTAGTGTTCTGCTGCTGTGAAGAGACACTATGAAAGAATGCTCATAAAGGAAAACATCTAATTGGGGGCTTGCTCACAGCTTCAGAGACTTAGCTCCTCGTCATTGCGGTGCAGGGCCTGGTGATCCTCAGACACAGACAGACAGGCAGACAGACACTAGGCCTGGCCTGGTCTTTTGAAACCTCAAAGCCCAACCGCAGCAGAACACCTCTTCCATCAAGGACACACCTTCTAATCCTTCCAAATAGTTCATCAACTGGGGAATAAGCATGCACATTTATGAACCTATAGGGGCCATTTTCATTCAGGCCACCACAGATACCTATTGTAAAGTCCAGACAAGACTCACTTTATAATGCTCTTTTTCATAGAAATGACTTCATGCTTAAAGGAGTAGAGATCCCATGCAGTTACGAATTTTGGGATATCATGCTGGCTTTAAATTTTGAATTATATATGTTTTCTCTTGTTATATTTTTTTTGATATCCTGTGACACCTTTGACTTATGCATTGCATGATGAACCAAGTGTGAGCTGCCTCTTGTTTATAGCTGGTCTCTCACACAGCCTCTGTTTTTTTAATTTTATTTTTTCTTATCAGTTACCTTTTTATTAACTCTGTACCCCAGGTGTATCCTGCTCCCTCATTCCCTCCCAATCCCACCCTCCCTCCCTCATCTCCACCGTGCCCCTTTCCAAGTCCACTGATAGGGGGGGACCTCCTCCCCATTCATCCGATCCTGTTTTATCAGGTATCTTCAGGACTGGCTGCAAAGCCCTCCACTGTGGCCTAACAGGACTGCTCCTCCCTTGGGGGGTGGGGAGGTCAAAGAGCCAGTCATTGAGTTCCTGTTAGAAATAGTCCTTGTTCCCCTTACTATGGGAAACCAATTGTTTACTGAGCTACCACAGGCTACATCCGAGCAGAGGTTCTAGGTTATATCCATACATGGTCCTTGGTTGAATGTCAGTCTCAGAAAAGACCCTGTGCCCAGATATCTTTGGTCCTTGTGGAGCTCCTATCCTTTCCCCATCATACTAACTCCCCTTCTTTCATACAATTCCCTGTACTCTGCCGAAGATTTGGTCATGAGTCTTTCTATCTGCTTTGAAAACACTGCTAGTTAGAGACTTTCAGATGCCCTCAGTAGACTCCTGTCATACGTTCAATGAACATCCCATCTGTTTTTCTAAATGAGGATTGATCATCTTACCCCATATCTGCTCTCTTGATTATCTTTTTTAGGTGTATAGATTTCATTATGTTTATCATATCTTATAGGCCTATATAAGTGAGTATATACCATGTTTGTCTTTCTCCTTCTGGGATATTTCACTCAGAATGATCTTTTCTAGATCCCACCATTTGCCTGCAAATTTCATGATTTCCTCCTTTTTGATTGCTGAGTAGTATTCCATTGTGTAAAAACACCACAATTTCTGTACCCATTCTTCCGTTGATGGACATCTGGGTTGTTTCCAGGTTCTGGCTATTACAAATAAAGCTGCTATAAACATGGTTGAGCAAGTATCCCTTTTGTGTAGTTGAGCAAACTTTGGGTATATACCTAGCAGTGGTATAGCTGGGTCTTGAGGAAGCACTATTCCTAAATATCTTAGAAAGTGCCAGATACATTTCCAAAGGGGATGTACCAGTTTACATTCCCACCAGCAGTGGAGAAGAGTTCCTCTTTCTCCACAACCTCTCCAGCATGTGTTGTCACTTGAGTTTTTCATCTTACCCATTCTGGGTATGAGGTAAAATCTCAGGGTCGTTTTGATTTGCATTTCCCTGATGCCTAATGACGTTGAGCATTTCTTTAAGTGTTTCTCTGCCATTCGATATTCCTCTGTTGAGAATTCTCTGTTTAGCTCTGTTCCCCATTTTTTAATTGGATTACTTGGTTTGCTGCTTTTCAGCTTCTTTAGTTCTTTGTATATACTCGATATTAGTCCTCTGTCAGATAAAGGGTTGGTGACAATCCTTTCCCAATCTGTAGGCAGTCATTTTGTTTTGATGACGGTGTTCTTTGCATTACAGAAGCTTTTCAGTTTCATGAGGTCCCATTTATTGCTTGTTGCTCTTAGAGCCTGTGCTGTTGGTGGTCTGTTCAGGAAGTTGTCTCCTGTGCCAATGAGTTCTAGGCTGTTCCCCACTTTTTCTTCTAACAGATTTAGAGTATCTGGTTTTATGTTGAGGTCTTTGATCCACTTGGACTTTAGTTTTGTGCAAGGTGATAAATATGGATCTATTTTCATTTGCATGTGGACATCCAGTTGGACCAGCACCATTTGTTGAAGATGCTGTCTTTTTTCCATTGAATGGTCTTGCCTTCTTTGTCAAAAATCGAGTATTCATAGGTGTGTGGGTTTATTTCTGGGTCTTCTATGCGGTTCCATTGATCCTCCTTTCTGTTTTTATGCCAATACCATGCAATTTTTATTACTATTGCTCTGTAGTACAGCTTGAGATCGGGGATGGAGATACCTCCAGATGATCTGTTGTTGTACAGGATTGTTTTGGAGATTCTGAGTTTTTTTGTTTCTCCATATGAAGCTGAGAATCTCTTTTTCAAGGTCTGTAAAGAATTGAGTTGGTATTTTGATGGGAATTGCGTTGAATCTGTAGATTGCTTTTGGCAGGATGGCCATTTTCACAATGTTAATCCTACCAATCCATGAGCACGGGAGATCTTTCCATCTTCTGATATCTTCTTCAATTTCTTTCTTCAGAGACTTGAAGTTTTTCGCAAACAGGTCTTTCACTTGCTTGGTTAGTGTCACCCCAAGGTACTTTATGTTATTAGTGGCTATTGTGAAGGGTGTTGTTTCCCTAATTTCTTTCTCGGCCCTTTTGTCTTTGGTATACAGGAGGGCTTTGATTTTTTTGAGTTGATTTTGTATCCTGCCACTTTTCTGAAGGTGTTTATCAGCTGAAGGAGTTCTCTGGTTGAATTTTTGGGGTCGCTCATGTATACTATCATATCATCTGCGAATAGTGACACTTTGACCTCTTCCTTTCCGATTTGTATCCCCTTGATCTCCTTTAGTTGTCTTATTCCTCTGGCTAGGACTTCAAGTACTATGTTGAAGAGGTATGGAGAGAGTGGGCAGCCTTGTCTTGTCCCTGATTTCAGTGGGATTGATTTAAGTTTCTCTCCATTGAGTTTGATGTTGGCTATAGGCTGTATATTGCCTTTACTATGTTTAGATATGTGCCTTGTATCCCTGATCTCTCCAAGACTTTAAACATGAATGGGTGTTGGACTTTGTCAAATGCTTTTTCGGCATCCAAGGAGATGATCATGTGGTTTTTCTCCTTCATTTTGTTTATGTGGTGGATTACATTGATAGATTTCCATATGTTGATCCACCCTTGCATGCCTGGGATGAAGCCTACTTGGTCATGGTGGATGATATCTTTGATGTGTTCTTGGATTCGGTTTGCAAGTATTTTATTGAGTATTTTTGTGTCAATGTTCATAAGAGAGATAGGTCTGAAGTTCTCTTTTTTTGTTGGGTCTTTGTGTGGTTTAGGTATCAGGGTGACTGTCGCTTCATAGAATGAGTTTGGTAATGTACCTTCTGTTTCTATTTTGTGGAATAGTTTGAGGAGAATTGGTGTTAGCACTTCTTTGAAGGTCTGGTAGAATTCTGCGCTGAAACCATCTGGCCCAGGGCTTTTTTTGGAGGGGAGACTGTGAATGACTGGTTCAATTTCCTTGGGGGATATAGGGCTATTCAGTCTTTCTACCTGATCTTGACTTAATGTTGGAAGATGGAATCTATCAAGAAAATTGTCCATTTCATTTAGGTTTTCAAATTTTGTGGCATATAGGCTTTTGTAGTATGACCTTATGATTGTTTGAATTTCCTCAGTGTCTGTAGTTATGTCACCCTTTTCATCTCTGATTTTGCTGATTTGGATAGATTCTCTCTGCTTTTTAGTTAGTTTGGCTAAGGGTTTGTCTATCTTGTTGATTTTTCTCAAAGAACCAGCTTTTTGTTTCATTGGTTCTTTGAATAGATTTATTTGTTTCTAATTGATTGATTTCAGCCCTGAGTTTGATTATTTCCAACCGTCTGCTCCTCTTGGGTGTATCTGCTTCTTTTTTTTTTAGGGTTCTCAGTTGGGCCATTAAGTTGTTTGTATGTGATGTTATGGTTTTGTTCTTGCAGGCACTTAGTGCTATGAACTTTCCTCTGAGCACTGCTTTCAGTGTGTCCCATAAATTTGGGCATGTGCCTTCATTTTCATTGAATTCTAGGAAGTCTTTAATTTCTTTCTTTATTTCTTCCTGTTTTCTCCTGAGGTTGGTCACTGTGTTTATGCTGGTGTGTGTCTGTCCTCTTATTATATGTTGTGGACAGCAGTAGTATCACCACTATTTTATTCATTGTCACTATGTTTTTTCTACTCCTGCTTCACATTAAAGTGATAAGGTTTGGAAAAATATTAAACTGGAAAGCCAGAAATCTAGTTGGCTTTTCATGTAGTATTTCTTGATACTAAACATAGGGCATTGATGTGATTTGTGCAGAGGACAATGCAGCCAGAGAGTCGAGCCTGAGGTTTCCCTGCGTGAGTCTGGAGGAGTACCCTCATGCATGTGCACTCTCAGAAAGTGTTTAAACACAACACAGACAGGGGAACACAATGTAATGAGCTTAACATACATGCTACCTAACTTCATTTGGCTAATTGTGTTTTCATTATAACTTTTCATAGCCAAGATTATTTAGAAGTAAAATAGAATTCTACCATAACCTTTTGTCTTTACGTATTTTTACATTTAACTGTTAAGTACTTTAAAAAAAACTTCATGTCCACAGTACACTATCAACCCCATAAAGATAAACTATCATAATGTAGTACACCTTGACAAGAGCTTGGACCTCAGTCTGACTTACTGTCTGAGGCTGAGAGGAATGGGTTGCAGAATGGAGAAGTGTGGTCAGTGCATTGCAGAGAATGGCAGGAAAAAAACAAACAAACAAACAAACAAAAAAACTAATTGGTTGAAAAACTATGTCAACCAAATATGGCAATCATTTTTGAGAGCTGGTTTGGAAAAAAACCCAAAACCTGTTTTAAAGTGACCAAGAAAATGAGGGCAACTGAGGCAGTTTGATTGCTGACTAGATATGTGATACTCTGAAGGAATGGCCAGATCATTAAGCTGGGGCAATGGCTTTAGCTATAGTTTTCAAAAGTCTTACCTGTTTGAAAAAAAAAAAAAAGTTTTACCTGTTAAGAGATACCTATCAAACCTTTGAACCTTTATACATTAAAAATCTAAGATTTGCTTTACAGAAGCTTTTCAGTTTCATGAGATCCCATTTATTGATTGTTGACCTTAGAGCCTGTGCTGTTGGTGTTCTGTTCAGGAAGTTGTCTCCTGTGCAATGAGTTCAAGGCTTTTCTGCACGGGTTGAGTGTGTTTGGTTTTATATTGAGGTCTTTGATCCACTTGGACTTTAGTTTGATACAGGGTGATAAGTATGGATCTATTTGCATTTTTCTATATGTAGACATCCATTTAGACCAGCACCATTTGTTGAAGTTGCTATCTTTTTTCCATTGAATGGTTTTGGCATCTTTGTCAAAAATCAGGTGTCCATAAGTGTGTGGGTTTATTTCTGGGTCTTCTATTGATTCCATTGATCCACCATTCTGTTTCTATGCCAGTACCATGGAGTTTTTAGTATTGTTGCTCTCTAGTACAGCTTGAGATCAGGGATGGAGATACCTACAGAAGATCTTTTATTGTAGAGGATTGTTTTAGCAATTCTGGGTTTCTTGTTATTCCATATAAAGTTGAGAATTTTTCTTTCAATGTCTGTAAAGCAAAGGACACTGTCATCAGAACAAAACAGCAGCCTACAGATTGGGAAAGGATCGTCACCAACCCTATATCTGACAGAGAGCTAATATCCAAAATATATAAAGAACTCAAGAAGTTAAACAGCAACAAATCAATTAATCCAATAAAAACATGGGGTACAGAGCTAAACAGAGAATTCTCAATAGAGGAATGTCGAATGGCAGAGAAACACTTAAAGAAATGCTCAACATCCTTAGTCATCAGGGAAGTGCAAATTAAAACGACCTTGAGATTTCACCTAACAACCATCAGAATGGCTAAGATCAAAACTCACGTGACAATACATGCTGGAGAGGATGTGGAGAAAGGGGAACCCTACTCCACTTCTGGTGGGAATGTCAACTTGTACAACCACTTTGGAAATCAATCTGGTGCTTTCTCAGACAATTAGGAATAGTGCCCCCTCAATATCCAGCTATACCACTCCTAGGCATATATTCAAAAGAGACTGAAGTAAACAGCAAGGACATTTGCTCAACCATGTTTGTAGCAGCTTTATTTGTAATAGCCAGAATCTGGAAACAACCCAGATGTCCCTCAACTGAGGAATGGATACAGAAACTGTGGTACATCTACACAATGGAATATTACTCAGCAATAAAAAAAAAAAAAAAAAAAAAAGGAAATCATGAAATTTGCAGGCAGATGGTGGGAACTGGAAAAGGTCATCCTGAGTGAGGTATCCCAGAAGCAGAAAGACACACACGACATATACTCACTCATAAGTGGATATTAGATATATAATATAGGATAATCCTACTAAAATTGGTACACCTAAAGAAACTAATCAAGAAGGAGGACTCTGGCTAAGATGCTCAATCCCCATTCAGAAAGGCAAAGAGGATGGACATCAGAAGAGGGAGAAAACAGGGAACAGGACAGGAGCCTACCACAGAGGGCCTCTGAAAGGCTCTACCCTGCCAGGGTATCAAAGCACCTGTTGAGATTTACAGCCAAACTTTGGTCAGAGTTCAGGGAGTCTTAGGAAAGAAGGGGGAAAGACTAAAACCTGGAGAGGACAGGAGCTCCACAAGGAGAGCAACAGAACCAAAAAATCTGGGCCCAGGGGTCTTTTCTGAGACTGATACTCTAACCAAGGACCATGCATGGAGATAACCTAGAACCCCTGCACAGATGTAGCCCATGGCAGTTCAGTGTCCAAGTGGGTTGCATAACAATGGGTACAGGGACTGTCTCTGACATGAACTGAAAGGCTTGCTCTTTGATCACCTACCCCTGAGAGAGGAGCAACATTACCAGGACACAGAGGAAGACAGTATAGTCACTCCTGATGAGACCTGAAGACTGGGACCAGGGGGAGGGAGAGGAAGACCTCCCCTGTCAGTGGACTTGGTGAGGAACATGAGGGGAGAAGGAGGTGGCATCTACAGGGGGGATATAAAGTGAATAAACTGTAATTAATTAAAAAAAAAGTTAAAAATCTAGGATTTGTTGCAAAAATGATGCAGGATTGGCCCAAGTTATCTGTGGTTGAAACCTAGTGATGGGTAGTTGATGGTTCGTTTTCCTCTTTTTTTCCCCTGCAATCTGCATTTGAAAATTTATAAGAGAAAAGAATATTTTAGTGGTAAATCTATTTTAACAATTTGTAATTTACTTCTCATTGCTATTATTTACCAAATCATTAACAAATGATTTTATTGTTCATTTTCATTATTGTGACATAACATTGTGACTACTTAATACTCTGTTCTTTTTCAAATCATTTTTATGACGTATTTTCCAATTCTGTTTTACTTAAGGTGATGAGCATGGTGTCAGGATTTGCACCATTAATCTCTGCAGGTATCTTTTCAGCCACACTTTCATCAGCATTAGCGTCTCTTGTGAGTGCTCCCAAAATATTTCAGGTAAGTATTTTCATATTATTAAATTTTTTATTGAAGGGAATATTAAAATAGTATTTTAAATTTTGGATTGTTGCTATATTCAGATAGGTTACCTTTATCAACCTCATTTGTTTGATATGTTTGCATATACATATATCAAAATTGGTATAAATTTTATGTATATAAATGCTATGTAGATCTGTACAAACATTTAGAATTTTCCCACTGTCAAGGTACATGCTTTGATATGGCTTTTTAGAAAGGATGACTTATGGGTCTGGAGAGAGGGCTCAGCAGTACAGGCTTGTAGGGGATCTAAATTTAGTTTCCAGTATACTGGTGGCTCATGCCTACCTGTGATTCCAGACAGATATACATTATTGAAGATGAGAAAATAAGTGTTTAGAGGTGAAAAGGGTGGGTTTTGCTTCTTGACATACTTAGCCTAAAAGTACAGGATTCTTGTCAGTAATAGGAGTGCAGTATAAGACTCCAAAGCAAGAGTAGTAAATAATTGTTTCAGTTAGCATGATGCCAACTTAAATATTTTATGTGGCTCATATTAATTGTCGTGGGTGCAGTGATAGCTAGAATGAAATCTGCTTCCTGCAGTGATCATTAAGCAGCTAATACTGATTTAATACTTACTAAATCATTTTAATTGCTGTGTGACATAAATGTTGATTTTCTACCAGTGTTCTTAATATTGTATTTATAGCCAGCAAGTACAGTAGTGGTATTGGTTATAATTTTTAAGGTAGTAGCTATTAAGATTTGATAAAAAGTGGCTAAACTTTATATTCTAATTTTTAATCTGCTTTTAAGTTTCAGATTTGGACTTGGTTTTCTTAGAGCTATAGGCAGACTGTATCATATTTGCCAACTTCCAGTTTTCATTTTATTTTATTCATTGTATTTTATTTGAATGTGTGCTTCTCTGGTCTTCATAAGTAGCATTTTAACTTGGGTTGGGGGAAAGACAAAATCTTAAGCAGTGTTATAAACCAACTAGCCTTCTGCTATTTGAACTATTTGCATGTCTTTATAGTCTGTAGATAAAACACTATGAGACAGAAAACAAAAAGTATCAGAAATGACTCAGCTTGCATTCATGTTTAATTTACTTTAACTGTTAGAAAATTTGTATATCTTAATTTTTCTGTATTTCATTTTAATGTTTGTATTTTTTGTTTTTTTTGGGTTAGGCTCTATGTAAGGACAATATCTACCCAGCTTTCCAGATGTTTGCTAAAGGTTATGGGAAAAATAATGAACCTCTTCGTGGTTACATCTTAACATTCTTAATTGCACTTGGATTCATCCTAATTGGTTAGTTCTATGAATGGTATATCATGTAGGTTTTGCTATATTTATAGCATTAGCTATAATCATGAATATTATGTTATTAACAAAATGTCCCTTGCTTTAGTGCACGAAATTCCTTTGTAATAAAAAAAAATACTGCAAAAATAGTGCCTGATATTATTTATTAAAATTATTGTCATTATGTAAAATTAGGGACAGAAGAAAATATACTTGTTTTCTTTTTTTGTTCTTTCTTTCTTTTTTAAGATTCATGTAGCCCAGGCTGGCTTCTTGTTATTCACTATTGTAGCCAAAGATAATCTTAAATTCCCGATGGTCCTGCCTCTGTTCCCAAGGACTAGGATTATAGGTATATATAATACCCTTTTCCTAAAATATTCATGATGATAATATAAGGAAAATGATACTAGTGTACCCCTAGTTTACTAGACAGAGGTAATACCTCTGTCTGATGTATGTAAAGCTATGGATCTTTCACTGTTACTGATAACATTAGACTTTCTATATTTTGTGTCGTTGTTAAATTACTTGAATGTGAAAATCCGATTATGCCTTCAATTGTAATAACAAGATGTAAATATCAATGTATGGTAGATTTAGGAGTGTTTATGATGCTATTTAAAAATTAGAACTATTTCAATTTTAAGTTTGAAATACCATTAAATCTATTTTTTGTTTTTTCTTTTTGCAGCTGAATTGAATGTTATTGCTCCAATTATCTCTAATTTCTTCCTTGCATCTTATGCATTAATCAATTTTTCAGTATTCCATGCATCACTTGCAAAATCTCCAGGTAATTTTACATTTCAAAAGTTTGTATGTATTAATAGCTTTGATTTCAGAAGAAACAAAATTTTTACTGTTCTAAAATTTAATGTATCTGAATTTAGTTTATTAAGGTTGTCTAATTTTATAGTTAAGTCAAATTCAGTGTTCAAAGATCTCTATCATGAAGTACACTGATAATCTATTTCTTTCAGAACATTAAAAATAGCATTGTCATATTAAAGAATTATTTCCTATTTTAAAAATGTCTTTCCTATTTGCTTACCTGAGTCAATTCTCATAACACTGTTACTATTTAATAACTTTCAAAACTGTTCCCTTTCAGTGTTGAGAACTGAGCCTGGTGCTTCATGCATGATAAATACACACTTTACCACTGAGCCTGTGTCCCAGCCCCCAACATGTTCTTTATACAATGAGTTCTGTGGAATTCTAACATAAGGGGGCTCTATCAACTGAAAGAGTACCATGGGGCCTTTGTTATAAACAGGCAAGGGCTGGAAATCAGGAAAAGAATGGAAAATACAGAAGGATTTAAGTTTGTTAGAACAGGCCAGATAGTGTGGCCTGTTTTTCTAACAGAAAAGGAAGCATGAACACGCATGTTTTAGCCTCAGTTTTACTTTCAAAATAAAATTTTATTGAAGTAGTTAATATCATTGGCTATTAGTGACAAGTTTAAAACGTTGTAACATTTACGATTAGTATTATGTTCATAAACACTAAATGGAAATTTATGAATTTCTTGAGTTCACGCCTAGATTTGTTGCATGGGTAGATTGCTTGAAATGTTTTGTGTATCCATTGGAACATGGGTGCGTTTCACGCTGAAGACCGGAGAGTAAAGCCACCCTTCTTAGGAGTCCATTCAGAACCTTCCCTTTGTATGCTACTTCTCTATATTGCACTATGGTGGGTTGATTGAAATTTCTAAAAGATTATATTGCCTAAAAGTCTGAGAAGATGCAGTGATAGAGTACTGTCTCCAGTCATTGAGAATCATCAAAGCCATTGTGATGAATAGTCATTGACCTCACTGTTAGGTGTTACCCTTGCACTTACTCCTTAAAGTCGTGTGAATATGTCAACCATAAGGAAATCTGTCTTACACATGCCCAGTGACGGTTTCTGTCTGTCGTTGTTAGGATGGCGCCCTGCATTCAAATACTACAACATGTGGATATCCCTTCTCGGGGCAGTTCTTTGCTGCATAGTGATGTTTGTCATCAACTGGTGGGCCGCATTGCTGACCTATGTCATTGTTCTTGGACTGTACATTTATGTCACTTATAAAAAGCCAGGTCAGTAGACTTCGTTATTTAGTATTTCACGCTAGAAAACATTGGCAAATTTCTGTTACTTTTTTTATTCAAGCAACTTTCATATATTTGAAAAGGTGTCACATGTCAAACTTACAATACCTTCTTTCCAAATAATTTTTTTTTGTTTTTGAAGTTCACTTAGTTTCAATGAACTACTTTGAAATGTTTAATTCCTATAGAATTTCATTCTCACCCAATAATTAAATATGACTAACCTTATTTTAAGAAAACTAATATGACATTCTGTTGCACTTAATATGTTTAAAAATTACTCAAAAATCTGAAGGTTTCAGATTTTTCAATACTACAATAGCTACTAACCAAATGTGTGTGTGTGTGTGTGTGTGTGTGTGTGTGTGTGTGTGTGTGTTGCTTCTTGTTGCTTTAGAACTGCTGTGTGGCATGGAGTTTAAGCACTGGGAAGGTGTAACTTTCCCAAAATAAGTAAATGTAAAAGATCTTAACTGAGAAATAATTAGTGATTACTATCTTTTACATTGGTGATGTTTAGGTTGATCTACATATAAGGTGATGAGGGGAGAGATTATTAAGAGTGGTTCAGTATACAGAAAAAGATCAGACAAAAAAGTTAGGAAAGTTTGGTCTACTGGGATAAACCAGAAGATGACTAGTTAAAATACAATGGTTTCAAATGCTGATGAAACATTTTTAATCTGGATAAGAAATGATGAGCTTTGGATTCAGATGGTGGCTCTAGAAAGGAATGGATAAAGGAGCTATATTTTTAACTTTTAGGAGCAATTACTCTTCTAAAATACCTTTTAAGCATATTTTAATGTGTTTAAAATCATTCAAGGCCCAACTTTTTTATTTAACAGGAAAGGATGTTTGCATGTTTAAATAGGTTGAACATAGTTACTGAATTTATAATCTGCCCCTTTTCCTTTCAGGTCAGCTACATAAAAAATAATCTTAAAATGTATTATTAAGTGATTGTTTTGTTATGTGAACATGTCTATAGTGACATCATCATGCAGCAACAGACATGATGATGATCTTAATCCTCTTCTATATGCTGGAGCCATGTGAAGTTATAGAATAGTAGTTTGTTTTACAGTTGACTTATAAACATGAAACTCCTGCTCAGTTTGCTGTTAGTCCTTTGGTTTGAATTGGTTGCCATTGGTACTGTACTGCATAAACCTGTTTTCCCACAGATGTGAACTGGGGGTCCTCCACACAAGCCCTGACTTACCTGAGTGCACTGCAGCATTCAATCCGTCTTTCTGGTGTGGAAGACCATGTGAAAAACTTCAGGTAGGTGACAGGCTACCATTGTCTGGTGGCCAGTCAGTCAGTCCTAAACCTTTCATTCTTCCGTAGCGCTTCATATGGAAGAGTACAAAATATTCTGTTCTGTTTGGCAGTTAATTATTCAAAGTCAGCCAAATCATACAAAAAACTTACCTTCTTTTGGAAAAGGTTATGAAAGTTTTGGAACTGTTATTTAAAGATTTTATTTAAATATTTTTTTTCTCTTTGTAACCATTCATGTTGTATACCTACTTATAAATTTCTTTTCAACTTTTTATGTGTATGGATGTTTTGCCCACATGTATGTCTGTGCACCACTGGCATGCTGGTGCCTGCAGATGCCAGAGGAGGGCAATAGATCCCCTAGAGGAGGAGGGTATTAGAGTCCCTGGAACTGGAGTTACCAACAGTTGTGAACTGTTAGGTGAGTGTTGGGAACTGACCCCATAAGAGGTTTACTTTCTTTTTTCTCCCATATGCTTGAGGCAGGGTTTGACTATGTAGCTCTGGGTGGCTTGAACTTTCTTTGTGTAGACCAGGCTAACCTTGAACTCACAGAGATCTGCCTGTCTCTGCCACCTGAGTGCTGGGATTAAAGGCATGCACAACCATGCCTGGCTAAGATAGTCCTGTTTTGATACACCCATTATTTAAATTTTATTAAGACTGAATATTTAGTCATTCACATTTCTCAACATCTGGCTAGAAACCACTTGCAGTGATAAGACTGTGCTTTTGGCTAAGGAGTACTTGCACTGTACTTTCCTTAGCAAATGACTTTATATATTTATCACTAGTCTGTTCTTAGTCTCCAGTGAAACTTGTGCAATATATTGCTAATAATGAGTTAGATTCAGTTGCTGAGCACTGTTGATGCTTTTCTTCATTAAAAAAAAAATATTTTTTAATTAAATTTTTACTTTTTTGTATTATGTACAGTTTCTTTACTTTGTAACCCAGCTGTAGCCCCTCCCTCACTCCCTTATTCATGTATATAAAGTCTAAGAAATTTTAGCTTATTTATATATTTATAAAATATTTCTTAAATTGATAAAATGTTTAGCTGTGAACAGGTGACTTTTTTTCGTCATGAATTATATTTTGTTAGCTTCTACAGTACACAGAAACTTGTTCCAGAAAACAGCTTTGAAGAGGAGATACATTTCAGGATAGAATTGCTCTTCCCATAAGGAGAATTTGTGTGTATTCCTTGGGTTGCTCTCTTTTCTCTAAAATGAAAAGTTCCCAGAGACCAAGGCTTTGCATGTGAGAGAGGAGGAAAACAACAACAAAAAGGAAAAAAAAAAAAAAAAAAAGGAAGGAGAGCCCTGAGCCCTGGTAGAAAATCATTACTGTCAGCATATCCGGGGTAGTTGATGTCAAGTATGACAGGAAAACAGAAATTATTCTCCTGTGACTTGTGTAACAGAAGATGTGGAAAAAAAGTCACAATTAATTTTAAACCAGCAAAAGCTTGCTTGCATTTGTTAGTGGATCTTTTGAAGTTTCTTTTTTCTTTTTCTTTTTCTTTTTTTTTTTTTAAATCCCAGGGTTTTTTTGTTTGTTTGTTTTGTTTTTGTTGTTTATATAACCCAACTATCCCATAAATCAACTCCTGCCTCTGGCCTTCCCAAGTCCTGAAATTATAGGCACGTGTGTTTCAGTTTTCATTGAAATTATAGTAAACATAGCACAAAGAGGAGAGTTTGTAAAATTTTGCTATGAAAACCAATACTTGACTTATCCTCCGTGTTCCTTTTCTTGTTGTATAGGCAGTAGTTTCAGCAATTAGCTGCTTCATTACCTGCTGGTTTTGTATTAATTCATAATGTGTATTTATCTTGTGTGAATTCTGATTTTTGTTTAGTCCTTATCTTCTGTCTTTCTGACCATAGTACAAGGGTGTATTCCTCCCGTACTTCCAATACATTTTATGGCGTTACTTTGATTAATTTATATTAACATTTATGTTTTTATGACTTTAAACAAGGTGGACACAGTGTAAATTCTTTTGGGGGGGGCTTTTTTGTTGTCTTATTAAAAATTCTTTTAATTTTTTTTTGTATTTATCTCAGTATTCATCAAAGTCACCAAAAATTAGAGTTACCCTGAAGTTTCTTTCTCATTGTTTGTTTTTTCTTAGTTTGGGTTCTTGCATCTAAAGTGCAATATTTATTATGTTTCTTGACAATGAAGTTGTGCGTTGGTGGGGAGGACTTGCCATTCCAGTCCTTAATGTAGATTAATTAATACAGCTTTGCTCATTCTTTGGGGAATTTAAGTCATCTTAAAGGCTTTCTTTTTGATCTGATTAGATTTCTCAGAAATGAATATTTTAAGCTTTTTGTGTGTTCTTGTTACCAGAGTTCTGAGAGTCAGGCAGCGAGGGAGGTGGAGGTTTCATAAGCAACTTTCTAAGTCACCCCTGCCCTTAGCTAGTCTCAGTATCTCCTAGACCACAGAGACCTCTTTAACTAGTAGCCAAGTGGGTTTGAGGAGAGCAGGCAGTTGTCCCTCAAAGTGATGGCAATGACTAGACTCTTCTTACTTGCTTCTATGTGCTGCACGTGAGACCAGTGTTCTTGAGTTTGCGTTTTTTAACATGGCTTCACTGCTGTCTTCAGAGCTTCTTGGAGATGCCTGGTTACTAACTTCATGTTGCTGTGTTTGAGGTTTGGAATCGGTAACTTGACAGCATTCCTGTTCTCATTTAGTGTTTTCATGATGATCAGCTCCTTCACTATTCTGCTTGCTTTACAGCTTTCCAGATTTTAGTGGTTTACTGTCATGTTTTTTTCCACATGGCCTTTGTAATTTTATAACTTCAGCAGAATTATATTGTTTAGAGGAGACTCTAAATTACTCTAACAAGAAGCTTTTCAAAGTGCAGTAATTGAACAAGGAAGGCATAGGTAAGATGTCCAGTCATGGATGGTTCATGGCAGGTAGACGGATTTGGTCATTTGGCACCTCTAATCCTTATGTATTGGCATTTTGCTGTTCCCTAAAAGATGTTTTGTCTTTATGATCAAAGTGATCACTACATCTATGATCTAGCTTGTAAGAAAGAAAGTATAGGGAACAACTGTCTTCTAAGTAGTGTGGCCGGGAAAAGGAACACCTTATGGGTTGTTATGGGTTCTAAGTTACTCACAGTCACTTTATTCTTGGAAGGTGGAGGGGGTGTTCCATAGCTGGAGAATGTGGCACCTGCAGAAGCTGAAAAGTGAGACAGACAGTAAGAAGAGGGCATTGAGCAGTCTGGGCCATGATGTTCTGTTGATTACTCCAAAGTAACTCCTAGAGTTGATTTTTAGCTACTTTACTAAAATTCTGAATAAGTCAGTATTTTTAAAAGTCTTTGTTAATCTTTTTATTATTTTAGGGACTATTCTAATTTAGAATTAAATTTTTTTAAAGATCCATTTAGTTTTATTTTATGTATATGTGTATCCCTGCCCACATGTATGTCTGTGAATGAAAGAGGGCATCAGACCCTCTGCAGTGAGTTCCAGGCTGTTCTAGTCACCATGTCGGTGCTGGAAACATTGCCCTGGTCTTCTGCAAGCACAGAAAGTGCTGGTATCCACAGAGCATCTCTCCAGCCCTTACCTTAGGAGTTCTAGTTGGCTCTTCGCTTTTGTTCAGTTATAGATGTTGCTAATTTAAGGAATTCTGCCAATCATTTTTGGTGGATAAAATAAACACTGGATATCATATGAACAAGATTGATTTCCCCTAGTTAGTGAAAATCAGTCTTTTGTTTTGGTTTTTGTGTATGTATTTTTTTTTTTTAAGTCAGGGTCTTCCTCTGTGGTCCTAACTGTGTTGGAACTTACTATATAGACCAGGTTGGCCTTGAACTCACAGAGAGCTGCCTGCTTCTGTCTCTCCTATGCTGGGATGAAAGGCATTCACCACCATGCCCAACCAAAAAACAGTAGTTTAAAACATCTAAATATTTTGTTAACTTCTCATGTTTATGGAGATAATTGAGTGCAGTTTTGGCATTCATCGTTATTAACTAGAATTAAAAGATTTTAGTCCACTAGTAGAACCTGTAGTTCAGACTACTGTATTTGATTTTACTTACCCCACAGCCTTAAGAATAAAGTTAATAAGATGGAGATCTGATCCATGAAGTAGGTGTCGTTATGCTGAGATAGAACCTACCTGTTTATATTATGGCTTAGTTGTGCCCAGTGGTTTTACAGGATCTATGAAATGACTGGAACAGTTAGGACCTTTGAAGATAAAAATTGTTATGTCGCTTTTAAATGATGTGGTAATTACCCAAAAACTCAGTGTGTAGAATTACCTGTTGTTGGAGAGGGGCATCTGGTATGATACTTTTACAAAGCTTTGTATTTTTCTGTTATTTATTTATTTTTATTTCTAGTCATCTCCTTAGCAAAATCATGCTGGTGCTATGCATTCTTTCAAATGTTTAGTTATATTTATGTCTGTACCCATGTGCCCTGTGTCTTGGGGGGCCTTCACAGCCAACTGCAGTTACAAGTAGTTGTAGCCCCTGACTTGGCTGCTAAGAACTGAGCTTGTTTCCTTTGGAAAAGCAGTGATCACAGTTAACTACCAAGCCATCTCTCTAGCCCCATGTAGCCTGTATCTTCAAGATGATTTCTTAAAGTTCTTTGTAGCATTGTTCTTAGAGAAACTACATAAAAATTTGAAAGTGTTTTAATTTTTTTTTTTTTAATTTTAAATTAGGCCACAGTGTCTTGTAATGACAGGCTCTCCAAACTCACGGCCTGCTTTATTGCATCTGGTTCATGACTTCACAAAAAATGTTGGCTTGATGATCTGTGGCCATGTGCATATGGTAAGTATCACTTTGTTTTAGAGTAAAATGTTTTCACTCATCAAATGGACTGTAATTCATAGACCTTTATAGACTGGAAATCATTAGACAAATCTGTAGGACTTTTATCTTTAAGATGTTTTCTTCAATGTACTTTTTCTTTAAACTGTCAAAAAGCAACATTTTTTAAAAAGATGTAGCTATTTTGAACTGTTTTGATTTTAACCAGGAGTAAGAAAAATATCTAAAATAGTAAATTTTTACCCAAAAGGGTAATGCTTTTTTTTTTTTTCTTAAATCATTTTGGATATTGAAAACAGTTGTGAAATGATTCCTCACCTGTTCTGCATAAGAAACTAAGGTAGCGCTTTCTTGCGGCACCTCCTGGCTGTTGTATTAAGATGAAGCTGAATATCACCTTCCCAACCATTGGCTGTTGGAAACTCACTGAAATGGACTGCAAACTTTGTACTTTCTGAGAAGTAGTTGCTGATGCTCTGGCAGGGTTCATTGGACCAAATCTGGTGGGGACAACAGTTTCTCATGAAGCAGGTTGTTTTGGTCCTCAGCAGAGTGCACCTGCTATTGAGTAAGTGGCATTCCTGTTATAGACCAAGGAAGAGTTTTGAAGAGAGGAAGTGCAAGACTGCTTGAGATATACCATAGATGCCAATCTGAGGGCTCTCACCTTGGAGACTATAAAGAGAGAGAGATTCCTAGATGATAGCTACTACACCTCAGTAACTAAGGTGTAGAACCCAAAAACTTATCAGTCTCTAAAGAAGATGATGTTCACTAATGTGTTGTCAGAGAACCCTTAAAGAATGCAGGAAGCCCAGGACCAAAGCACCCAAGGTCCAATATCACATTGCTCTACGAGCCTTGTAACACAAGTGCCCATGTGTTTCTCTGAAGAAACAACACACTGAGAAAATGAGAAGGCTGCAGAATATGCTGTTTGGCCAAGAGAATAAAGAAAGCCAAGGAAACACGCCAGGAACAGATTGCCAAGAGATGTAGGCTGTCTTCACTGAGAACTTCTACTTCTAAATCTGAGTGCAGTTAAAAATAAGCCTTTAAGAGTAACAGATAAGTGATAAGCCTTAGGGGATGAAAAAGAAAAAAAAAAGCTAGAATGTCAGTTTTGTTTCTTTCTCAGACTCTGCCCCCTTATTTAGGTGCCAGAAATGTGTGTTGTGCATTGTGTTGTAACTCCTGTGACAGCTGCTCTTAGTTGCAAGCCAAGGCCACAAGCACACACATGAATACCTGAATGTGTGTGTGTGTGTGTGTGTGTGTGTGTGTGTGTGTGTAGGACTTGTTGTCAGCATTGACCCCAATTAGAGTTTTCCAGTTTGTCTCTACTTCATCCCTTGAAGGTGCCTTCAGTACAAAATGTTACAAAGAAGGCAATTTCCATACTTAGGAAAGATTGTATTTTCTTTTACACATTTATCTTTAAGCGAAATACTTTTAAATCCTTTCAAATTTTTGTTTTACATATTTTATATGTTTCATGAAAGGATCAAAATGTCACTTTGAAGCAACCTTACTTGCTTCGTCTACTAGCAGAAGCATATGCCTTTTGATTTTCAATGATATTCTCAAGTTCCTGTGATTTAATAACCCAGGAACTTAGACCAAATAGGAAACTTTCTGTAGAGAAATAGAAGGGTTTTATTTTGCTTTGTGTAATCTCTTTTCCATTTTCAGTAATTGCAAATTTCTCTCATTAATTTAGGATTGAAATATTTTGTTCTAAATCTTTTTACCTTCCTTTTCCAGGCACAGCAGTGCTCTCCCTTTCTGTATAATCTTAAGTATTAGGAAGAATTCATTCAAGGGAGAATGAAAGACTTATTGCACTTTTCCTATCACAACGCCTAAGCACATTCTTTCAAACCAATATTAAAGGGGATATCTTTCGTATATGGATTTGTGTAAAAAAAAAGATTGTCTTTCAAATGCAAATCTTGATAATGTTTTAATTTAAAGGGCCCTCGAAGACAAGCTATGAAAGAGATGTCCATTGACCAAACCAAATATCAGCGATGGCTAATTAAAAACAAAATGAAGGCTTTCTATGCTCCGGTTCATGCAGATGACTTGAGAGAAGGTGCCCAGTATTTGATGCAGGTAATGAGCCTTCCATGTGGCTCCATGTGATTAAAGCTTCTATGCTCTCTCATTCTTTCTTCATGGGAATATAAATGTACATCATTTAAAAAATATCTTTAAATCACTGATTTTTTTAAAAATTTAAAGTTCTACAGAAATTATGTGCTATAGGGTGACACAAAGGACCTATTTTAAAGTTACTTTGGCCTCTTAATCTTTTCGTTAGATATTTCTCACTTCCTCTTTACACTAGGGTTGTTTTTAAAATGTTGAGTCATAGCTATCTTTATTTGGCTTTTCAAAAATTCTTGTCCTTTGTATTTCTGTTTATTTGCTAGCTCTAAGTTTAGACGTCTCTTTCTACTTTATGTATTTTATAGGCATCACAGTAGGAAATTTGGACTCAGGCCTAGGTTTAAATGTTAGTGCTGTTGCTTTCTTATTATGGATTTTGGACCAAGCTATTTACATGATTTCTGAACTCTACTCTCACTGTCTTGAAGGTAATAGGGAGATATAAATTGAGACAGCATTTGCCAACCAATCTTAACCCACCAAACAAATATTAAAAGTAGAAACAGCTCTGACCATGGAACTGTCTATTAAAAGTGGGGTGAGCCTCCCAGCACTATACTGAGTCCATCCTGTTGCACTTCTTAGAACTTTGTTCAGAATGATCCACAGTCTTTAGAAGGACAGGAAGTGAATAGGGTTGCTAAGTAATTACCACACTGTTGTATGGAAACTGCCATAATTCAGTGATGGCAGAAAGTGGCCACTCACACAGAAAATACACTGTATGATACAAGTGGCTTTAAAAGGGTTGTCTGTAATAAGTGCTTATCTATGAAAAAGGATTGAAATAAGTCCTTACAAAGACTGCAAAAACCATTTTGAAGCAGTGTTTGATTTATGCCTTTATAATCTCAGGGCTTGGGACACTGAGGATGACCATTAGTTGAAGACCAGCGTGGGACAGGTGATCAGAACAGGCCTTCCAAAAGAGAAAGAGAAAGAAGGCCAGATGTGGTACCACACATCTGTAGTCTCAGCACTTGAGAGGTTGGGGAGGAGCATGTGACTTTGGCCAACTTGATCTAAATCGAAACAAATCCATCATTTTTAAGATGGATTAAAGGCCTAAAGATAAAATCCAAATTTTAAAATTTAGGAGAATATATAAAATACTTAGAGAATAATTTAAGTTAAACCCAGAAAATAAAACTCAAGAATATCAGTAATCTTTTAAAAGTTTAAAACTGAGATTTTAAAGGAAACATAAAAATGAAAAGAAGAGGACCCCTCAGACCAAGTGAACCTAAGAATCCTGACATATGGCCAGTAAAAGAACAGTGTAGAGTATGGCCTGAGATACTGTAAGTCAGTCAGTGAGAGAGGGGGAAAAGAGGGAAAGAAACCAAAGCTAGATTACGGGAATGAAAGCAATTCTCTGCCAATGTTGACCAGAATCACTCCTGCCAGATTTTAAACTGTTGTAGTAATCCATGCCAATAATCACTATTGGACAAGATCTGATTGTTTAAAGGACTAGAGAACAAAACTAGGCTACATGCACACCTCTTCACATGTAAAGAAAAGTCTATGAAGTTTAAGTTCCAGGTACAAGAAACCATCTTTGAATGTTTGGTCAGGGTTGTTTAAGCAACTCCCCAAACAATCTCAATGGACCCTTCATTTTCTCTCAGGGATTGCGGATAAGGGTTTAGTGCTGATGATACCATACGTTTAGGGTGTGGGACTTGGATGGTTTGATCTGGTTCTGACCTGAAAGCCTGTTTTCCTGCAGTCTAGCTTCCATGAATCCAGAAAACACAATGTAACCTGCTAAGGGAGGAAAACAATTTAACAGTTCAACACAAATGCAACATCGGTGAAGCAGAACAGTTCATCAGCGTGGCAAGGTGTACACAAGTGGGCAGGAAGTGGCACTCACATGTTGGAGGCAACCAGCAGCTGTCTAACTATATAAAGTCCATCAGCAGGGAGGAGATATGCCAGGCACTGGAACTAGCCAGCTTACCCAGGCTAGTGAGGTCATGGGCCTTAGAGAAGAATTCACTATTGCCACTGGGCAGCATCATTCATAATAGCTAAGCACAATCATAATTAATTTCAACAAAGATCGGATAATTAAAATGTAGACTGCTGTCATTCTATAAAATTACTGCATACAGTTGAAAAGAACTGCACATATCCATGTGGGCAGATTTCAGGGCTAAAAAGAGCAACTCTTAAAAAGAATATGATAAGAATGAAGGTGCAATTTTTAAAAATTGCAAAGATTTTACCTGATGTGTCGCTAAATAATAGAACTTCTAGTAAACGTGAGAAGTGCACATGAAGGCACGTGCTGTGCGTCGTGTCTATTGTATTGTCTGGCTGGCCTGTATGATTACTGCTTGGTGCTGTGTACCTTTTTGTAGTCAGTGATATTTTAGGACTTTAGGTGTCATGCTGTGCCTGAGTGAATCCTACTGGCTTTTGTAAAAGTTACAGAAACATTTTGATAATCACTTTCACATAAAATAATTTTTATGAAGAATTTTTTTCCTTAAAGAAAACTCATTAAAACACAGATTTCTGTTTCCCTCCCACAGTGAAACAGGTATGTGGTAAAGTCCAAGCAGAGGTAGATGGATCTGGGCATTCAAGGCCAGCCAAAGTCTACAGTTTCAGGACAGCCAGGGCTACAGAGAGAAATCTTGTTTCGAAAACCAAGACAAAACAACAAACAAAACATATATCCATATACTTAGTTTTTCTGATATTTTTAAAAATTAATTATTTATTTTTAATTAATTTATTTTTATTTTTATTTTTTATATTAATCACAGGTTATTTACTTTGTATCCCAGCCATAGCCCCCTCCCTCGTTCCCTCCCAATCCCACCCTCCCTCCCTCATCTCCTCCCTGCCCCTTTCCAAGTCCTCTGATAGGGGAGGACCTCGAGCCCCTTCCATCTGACCCTAGCGTATCAGGTCTCTTCAGGACTAACTGGCTGCAATGTCCTCTTCTGTAGCCTAGCAGGGCTGCTCCTCCCTCCGGGGGTTGGGGGTCGAAGAGCTCGCCATTGAGTTCATATCAGAAATAGTCCCTGTTCCCCTTACTAGAGAACCCACTTGGGCTATATTAGAGCACGGGTTCTAGGTTATATCCATACATGGTCCTTGGTTGGAGAAAGAGTCTCATGAAAGACCCCTGTGCCCTGATATATTTGGTCCTTGTGGAGCCCCTGTCCTCTCCAGGTCTTACTAACTCTCCCTTCTTTCATATGATTCCCTGCACTCTGCTGAAGGTTTGGTTATGAGTCTTAATGTCTGCTTTGATACACTGCTAGGGAGAGTCTTTCAAGGGCCCTCTGTGGTAGGCTCCTGTCCTGTTACTGGTTTTCTCCTACCTCCTATGTCCATCCCATTTGTCTTTCTAAGTGAGGATTGATCATCTTACCCCTGGTCCTCTTTCTTGTTTGTCTTTTTTAGGTGTATAGATTTCAGTATATTTATCCTATCTTATAGGTCTATATAATAAATTACAGTTTATTCACTTTGAATCCCAGCTGTAGCCCCTTCCCTAGTCCCCTTCCAACCCTGCCCTCCCTCCTTCTTTCCCTCCCATGCAGTGCTAAGGTATGAAGATAATGCTGGGAGGGAAAGGCTGAGGGGAGCTGGGGTGTATGTTAGAAGCGTGATGTAGGTGACTGTTGTGACGTGATGCACCGCTATCAGTGATAGACTCTAAAACTGATTTTCTGAACACTAGTGAAGTATGTTCTGGAAAAGATAGTTGTTTCAGTAAACTTTTCTTAAATACATACTGCTTCATGGAGACTGGAAATAATATCTCTCTTGTAATAGTAGTATCTTCCAGGATATTTATTCCTAATTTCGTAAATTAAAGCTTTGAGGGACTAGAGCTCAGTGGTAGCGTACATTTTTAGTTTGTGTGAAACCCTGAGTTCAATCCCTTGTACCAAAACAAAGAAGCCATTTCAGTAATAATAAGACTGATGTTCTGCAAGAACATGACCTTGATAGTATTTTGTACCATCAATAAATTACTGGCTATCTTGTGACTTGGTTGTGTTAAACAGCTGTCATACTTGAAAGTAATGCTTGGTTCTCTTCAACAGCCCCGACTCCACCATCACTTTGCACAAAACAACAAAACAAACAAACAAACAAAAACAACTTCACGGTTAGTCTACCCAGCAGATAGTTTTGCTTTTAGAAAAAGGTGGAATATTCTTTATTGTTCATTTAAGGAAAGGGTCTTTTAAATGCAAAATCTTAGTCTCTTAGAGATATTTGTACAGGAGAACAAATTTAAGATGATTGTAAGCTTGCAGGGTAGCTCTATTTCCTGTTTCTTAATCATGCCAAATACTTAGGACAGTGGCCCATGGCCAGGCCTTTGATAAATATTTGAATTCATTTAATGTTTTGCAAAAATAAAATGATTTAGACCATAGACAAAATCAACTTGGAATGTGTCTCCAACATAAATGAGAGCTCAAACCATAAAACTTAAAGAAAACAGAGTTAAATCTTCATGACTTTGGATCTGGCAGTGGACTCAGTAATGACATCAAAAGCATGAAGGTTAAAACAGAAATAAATTGGACATTTTCTGACTTAAGATATTTTCTGCAGAAGACATGGTAAAGAAAGTGAAGACAACTTACTGATTGGGAAAATATTTCTATCAATTTGATAAAGGGTTTTTTCCTAGTTAATAACAACGTAACTTAGCAATAGCTTCTGTGATGAGACACCATGACCAAGGTAACTTACAGAAGAAACAGTTTCTGGTGTGGGTTTGGTTTCAGAGGATGAGTCCATGACCATCTGACAGTGAGCATGACAGCAGGCAAGCAGGCATAGAGATGTAGCAGGAGCTGAGAACTTATATCCTGACCCACAAGCAGAAAACAGAGAGGGAGCTGCCTGGCCTGGTATGAGCTTCTGAAACCTTGAAACCCTGTGACACCTCTCAACAAGGCCATACCTCCTAATCCTTCCCAGACAGTGCACCAACTGAGGAAAAAGCATTTATATATGAACCTTTGGAGGCTATTTTCACTCAAACCACCACAGGTTTTGATATCTATAATATGTAAAGAAAAAAAAAAAAAAGAAAGAATTTTTTCTCAAAATAACAGAACTTGAAAATTGCTAGTTGGGTAAAGAAAAAAGTTATATGTATCTCCAGTACATATGTAAAAAGATGTTCAATAGCATTAGTTTTAAAGGAATTATAAATCAAAACCACAATGAGATACTAGGTCAGTATACTAGGATAGCTATAAAGTGGGGTTTAGAAAAAGTTGAACCTGTGTTTTACTGATTGTGAATATAAAATGCTATAGATACTATAAAAATTAAGTTGATTGTTCCTCAAAAGGAAAACTTAAAAAGACTTGTGACTGTCAGTCGTCCTGCATTCCTTGACATTTACCCTTACTAAACTGAAGAGGCAGAGTTTTGTTTTTGGTTTTTGGTTTGTTGTTTTTTTTTTTTTTCAATATAGTAACTTGCTACTGCACCATCATGCAATGTAGCCAAAAGGTACAAATTAGAAACAGTTGAAGTGCAATCATCAAACAAATGGATAAGCAAAATGAGCCGTGGATATGTACGTGCAGTATCGTTATCTGCAGAAAGGAATAGAGTTGCACAGCCTGCTAACTGAAGTAAGCTAAACACCAGAGTTCTGGGATTTCATTCATGAAGTAAAGGGGCGAAAGGGAGAACATGAACAGCTATGAATAGCAGTTACAGAGCAGTTGTAGAATTTCTGAATGGAGTGATGAAAACATTTTGGAAATAATGATATGTTACCTGGCAGTATGGTGGACATGATATGTACTGCTTAAAATATTAAACTTGTTAACTTTGTATCATAATTCACTTATGTGTGTAAATGTTTGCTTGTTAGTGTATGTGTGGACTTGTAGGTCTAGGCCAGAGATCAACCTCAGATGCCATTCTTGTGGATGTAATCCTTGCTCTTGTTATGTTGTTTTGAAATGCTCTTTCACTCTTTACCTGAAACTTGTCAATTTGTGTGGCTTGGCTGGCCTGTGAGCCCCAGAGAAATGACTGTCTCTACCTCCCATCACTGTCTTCACATTTGTTCTAGGGTTGAACTAAAGGTCATCATGCTTGACTACAAGCATTTTCTGACCAAACTCTATCCTTAGCCCTTACCCCAATTTTAAAAACCTTCCCAAACCTAAGTATTACTGCAGGATATAATTTCTTACTTGTAATTAGACAACAAAAACACTTCTAAAGGATATTTTGGGGGCTGATGGATAATTGTTTTTGTTTTTGTTTTATTAAATTTTTATTTTTTAATATTAGTTACAGTTTATTAACTTTGTATCCCAGCTGTATCCCGCTCCCTCATTCCCTCCCAATCCCATCCTCCCTCCCTCATCTCCTCCCTGCCCCTTTCCAAGTCCACTGATAGGGGATGTCCTCCTCCCTTTCCATCTGACCCTAGCTTATCAGATATCTCCAGGACTGGCTGCAGATTCCTCCTCTGTGGCCTACCAAGGCTGTTCCTCCCTCGGGGTGGTGGGGATGTCAAAGAGCCAGCCATTGAGTTCATGTCAGAAATAGTCCCTGTTCCCCTTACTAGGATACACACTTGGATACTGAATTGTTAATCATTTGAATTACAGCTCTTTAATTGTGTCTGTGTTATGTGGCTTTTAAAGACAGGATCTTTCTCTCTGTTTCTGATACTGTGTAGCCCTTTACACTCACTACACATAGACAGTCTGGCTTCAGCCTCATAGACGGAAATCCCGTCACTTCCTCCTGAGTGTTGGGATTACAGGCAGCTTTTGGTGAAATTGCAAAATGCTGAACTACTGTGGGAGGAAACCAAACAGCTTTCAGAAAGAACATTTGCATGATTTAAAGAAGTTACAGTTTCCTGTTGGTGGAATTCAGAACTCCAAACAGTGGAATTACATCTAGTCATTAGTGGCTATTATTAAAATATATCATGGAGGTGGAAAAAATTAAATGTTTTATTTTGGTTAGTAAAAGTATAAGTTTTTATGTCATCCCGATACAAAAATGAATTTAGAAGTTTTTCAAGTGTCTCATTGTAACATTATTTTTATTGTGTTTAGTATGAGTGATATGGTATTAATTTCACATATATAATTTATAGAAAAACTGTCAATATGAAAATAATTTATCTGTTAAAATGATTTTGTCAACTAATCTGTATTTGAAGTTGTATTTCTATATTTTAGGCTGCTGGACTTGGTCGTATGAAACCAAACACACTTGTCCTTGGATTTAAGAAAGACTGGTTACAAGCAGATATGAGGGATGTGGATATTTATATAAACTTACTTCAGTAAGTATATCCTAAATTGCTAAGTACTTGGCAGAAAACTGCTCATTTTAAAGGCATTCACTAATTTTTGACATTGTTTTTTGTATAGTCCTTTCTTTTCTTAATTAATTTATTTTTTTATAAATTACAGTTTATTTACTTTTTGTCCTCATCTCCTCCCACATCCACCTCTCCCTCCCTCTTCTCCTCCCATGCCCCTCCCCAAGTCCATTGATAGAGGAGGTCCTCCTCCCCTTCCCTCTGACCCTAGCCTATCAGGTCTCATCAGGACTATCTGCATTGTCTTCCTCTGTGGCCTGGTAAGGCTGCTCCACCATCAGGGGGAGGTAATCAAAGTGCCAGCCACTGAGTTCATGTCAGACACAGTCCCTGTTCCCTCTACTCCCTAGGGAACCTACGTGGAGACTGAACTGCCTTGGGCTACATCTGTGCAGGGGTTCTAGGTTATCTCCATGTATGGTCCTTGGTTGGAGTATCAGTCTCAGAAAAGACCTCTGTGCCCAGATTTTTTGGTTCTGTTGCTCTCCTTGTGGAGCTCCAGTCCCTTCCAGGTCTTTCTATCTCCCCCTTCTTTCCTAAGATTCCCTGCATTCTGTCCAAAGTTTGGCTATGAGTCTCAGTATCTGCTTTGATACTCTGCTGGGTAGTCTTTCAGAGGTCCGCTGTGGTGGTAGGTTCTGGTCCTGTTCCCTGTTTTTTCCCTCTTCTAATGACTCTCCCCTTTACCTTTCTGAGTGAGGATCGATCATCTTACCCAGGGGTCCTCCTTCTTGCTTAGCTTCTTTAGGTGTACAGAATTTAGTATGTTTATCCTATATTATATGTCTAATGTCCACTTATAAGTGAGTATATATCATACTTGCCTTTCTTCTGGATACCTCACTCAGGATGATCTTTTCTAGTTCCCACCATTTCCCTGCAAATTTTATGATTTCCTTGTTTTTAATTGCTGAGTAGTACTACATTTTGTAAATGTACCATAATTTCTGTATCCATTCCTCAGTTGAGGGACATCTGGGTTGTTTCTAGATTCTGGCTATTATGAATAAAGCTCCTATGAACATGGTTGAGCAAATGTCCTTGTTGTAGACTTGAGCATATTTTGGATATATGCCTAGGAGTGGTATAGCTGGATCTTGAGGAGGCAATATTTGTAATTGTTTGAGAAAGTGAAAGATCGAAAACTCAAGTGACAACACATGCTGGAGAGGATGTGGTAAAAGGGGAACCCTCCTCCATTGCTGGTGGGAATTTAAACTTGTACAACCACTTTGGAAATCAACCTGGTGCTTTCTCAGACAATTAGGGGTAGGTAGTCCTTTCTTAACAGGTAGAGAAAAAAGAAAGAACCCATGGGTTTTAAAATAATGAACTATTAGCAAAATACTGATCTCATTCTTTTTTTTTTACACAAAACATCAAAAAATATGTACAAATAATTATGTAAATTTCAGATGCAAGTACATCTAGAAAATAGCTTATGTGTATAAAAATAGTTTGTTAACCTTTCTCTTTCATTATATTATTATTAGCTCTTTGGCAATTTCAATGTATCTGGAGCATATTCACCCCCTCGACTCTTTCCTTTTTACAATCCTTTCCTACCCAACTTAGAGATGACTTCCTTTCCTCCCCCGTCCCCTCCCCCCGCCTTCCAATTTTGTTTCCCAGCTCATGTGTGGTCAGCCTACCAGGGGTCACATTAAAAAATACTGACTTGCTTTCCCAGCCACTACCAAATGCCAGTAGTTTCTCAGCTAACGATAGGATCACAAGTCTACCATCCACCCTCTGTCTTGGGATTTTGTCTGGCTGGAGCTTATGTGTGTTGTCCCAATCACTGTGAGTTCATATATGCACCTGCTCTTTTGTGTCTGGAGAAACTGTGACCTTGAAATTATCTACCACCTTTAGCTCTTGGAGTCTTTCTCCCTCTCTTTGGCAAAGATTGAACCTTGAGGTGAAGGGTGTGATGTGATTGTCCTACTTAGGGCTAAGTACTCGAGTCTTCTGTTCTCTGCACAGTCATGAGTTTAGGCTCTTTGTTAATTACCATCTACTGCAAGGAGAGGCTTCTGTTGCTGGATAAAAGATGCTCTAGTCTGTGGGTCCAGCAATAAGAGAGGTAGTTTTATTTATGTTCATTTTTATAGCATTGGTGTTTTGCGCGCATGTATATCTGTGTGACAGTGTCAGATCTTGGAGTTATGGACAGTTTCAAGCTGCCATGTGGATATTGGGAATTAAACCCAGGTCCTCTGGAAGAGCAGTCAGTGTTCTTAACCTCTAAGCCAGTCCTAAAGGGAATTTTAATACTCAGTATCTGTCCATTTAACTGACTAGTATTGGATTCTCACCTAGGGCCTATGATCTATCAAGCCATAGGTTGTCCTCTTAATAGTGCCAGGTATGGTTTCTTTCTCATAGGCAAGACCTTAAATCCAGTCAGAAAGTGTTTGGTTACTCCTGTAACATTTGTGCCACTCTTGCACAAGCGGCCATACCTTGTCAGTCCAGTCACTGTTGTAGCTTACAAGATTTCATGGCTGGGTGAGACTGAGGCTTACTTTTCTCCTTTATCAGTGTGCATAGCTCCTCCAACACCATGAATACCGGCTAGTAAGGATGAAGAGCTTGCAGGTGAATACCAGTTTGATGTCTGCATGATCTGTGATTCAAGTATGTGGTGTCTTCAGCAATAGGTTTTAGCGTCAAGTTCTGAAGGTTAACCTGTAATACTTGGAGGTCTTTGTGACCCCGTGGGCCAACAGCTCAAAAAATGGTAACTTGCTTTGGTACTGGGATTATTTGTTGAATGGGGTATCTAGTTGGGATATTGTCCCCCCGTTGTACAGTAACCATTATATCCCTTTATATATGTATACTTATATATTTTATTATGCTTCTACAATAGTAGCTTTCCAAATGTTTTTAAATCTCCTTTAATATTAGTTACCCATCCCCATATTTCTCCTTACCATGCCTCCCATCTTCCACCCCAGTTTAACCCATCTAATTCCATTGTTACCTTAATGCTTTGTACTTCTATGCTTCTTTTTCCCACTCTTGACGACCGCTCCTCCCCAGTGCCCCCTTTATCAATTCCTGACTTCTCTGGGTATTACAAATGGACACATATCTGAATATTCAGGTAACATCCAGAAATGAGAGAAAACATACAATGTTTGTCTTTCTGGATTTGGGTTACCTTATTCAGGGTGAGTATTTCCAGCGCCATCAATTTATTTGTGAATTTCATAATTTCATTTTTCTTAATATGTGAATAATCTTTCATAGAGATATTACGTGTAAACTACCCAAGAGTGGTGTGTATAGAGCCTGCTCCCTGGGTAAGAAGGGCCACTTCTCCCTGTGCTGTAGCTGTCGCTGAGCAGTCATGTCAGTGTCGCGCTGCAAAGTGTGTGTTACGTCGTACGCTGAGTGCTGAGTGAGCAGCTGCAGAGATTTGACTGTTTCCCCTCAGAGTAGCTCTTTGCTGGTCTGGTGTGTTCCTGGAGTTATTCTTCTTGCTTACAGTTACACATACTTGTTCGCCTTTTCTACTTGAAGTTGAGCTCATGGCTCCTGTTTCCTGTGTTGTCTGTCATGCAGCCTAGCGTTGTTTCTCGTCACTTTGACGTCCTTCTCACAGCTTGTCTAGTGGTTCTCTTTACTCTTTGGTCACTTTGCCCTTCTGGCTCATAGACTTTTGTGTATATATTTAATCTTACCAATGCTTTGTAGAACGGAACTATTTAATAAAAATTCTGTTTTTGCCAGATATACTTGAAACTTGAAAGTACTTTCTTTTCCTAGTATTCTAGGATTTGATCAACAAATCTAATGTACACTGAGAAGTCTCACTATTCTATTATCATAATATATTGTTATTTGTCTTTAAAATATCAGGGAGAAAAATCTTGTCTTTGGCAAGGTAGTTCTAGTAAAATTGAGATGCCAGTTTTTCTGTGAACTTACTTGTAACTCACAAGAGGAGGTAGCTTCTTTACTGGAAGTCTTGCCATGTCTGTAGATTTTTTTTCATCACTTATTTTAAAGTCTTTGAAGAAGTGATCAGAGGTCATTGTTGCTCTTTGAGAAAGTCTTGCGCTGATCAGTCATGCAGTAGGTGACAAATAAGAACCCTTTAATTGTTAGTTGATTCTAGGAAGGGTAAAGTCTGAAGCTTGTGCCTGCTGATCCTTGGTGAGGACACTCTCACTGTAGCTGGTTCTGCACTCTGTACTTTGCATATATGGTGACGCACAAAAGAAAGACTGTGGAAATAAAGATTAAATCACAAGCTGTCAAAGCGTATGAGCTGTGGCGGGCTCAAGAGCAGTGAGGTGGACTAATTATTCTAGAACATAGAGAAATGGCATTTTGAAAAATGGTTTTTATACACCAACTACATTAGTAGTAGATGTAGTTGATCATAATAGCCCTGGAAGGGGTCTATCTGAATGTTCTAGAAGTTAACAGTGTTCTGGATGTTGTGCGTCATTAACCACTTTACAGACACATAGTAAAAATGTTCTCTAGTATCCTAAGCCATTGCTGTTAATGGTTTTGTTGTTAATGTTATTTATTTATTTATTTATTTATTTATTTATTTATTTATTTATTTATTTATGTGTGTACATGGGCATGTCTTGTGAAAGTGTTGGAGGTCTGAGGGCAACTTGCAGGAATCAGTTCTCTTCTTTTACTATGTGAATCCCAGGGATTAAACTAGGGTCAGTGGGTTTGGCAGCAAGTGCCTGTGTGTACTGTGCAAGCCATCTTATAGACTCTTGTTGTTATTTTGTGTTTTGTGTGTGGTACTAGAGGTTGAACCTAGGGGCTTTACACATGCCTTTGTATCTACTATACCACTGAGCTGAAGAGGGCTGTATCCTCATCCCTAAAAAATCCATGTAGGCTGTTTTCAAGCTCACTGTGTCTGAGGCTGTGATCTCTCTGTCCTTGCCACCCAAACGCTGGAGTTACAAAGCATGGTTACTGCCACACCCAGTCCTTTTAGAAGTTTTTATTTGAGAAAGGACCTTTCAAAAGCTGCCTAGGCTGCTCTTAATCTCAATCACTAGTCCAGTCTCACACTGCCTCCATAAAATCAGGCTGTACCCAAGACGAGGGCGTTTTCTTAGTTAGTGATCCATAGGGGGGGCCCAGTGCCTTGTGGGTGGTGCCGTCTCTGGGCTGGTGGTGCTGGGTTCTATGAGAAAGCCATGAGGAGCAAGGGGTGAGCAGCACCCCTCCATAGCCTCTGCATCAGTGCCTGCCTCCATGTTCATGTCCTGTTTGAGTTACTGGCTCGGCTTTCTTCACTGAGAGACTGTCACCTGGAAGAGTAAGCTAAAACAAACGCTATCCTCCCCTAGTTGCCTTGGTTATATAGTGTTTCATCACAAAGTAGTAACCTTAACTAAGACATTCCCCCTCTCTCAAAAAAGAAAAGGAACAACCAAACAAAGCAAAAACAAAAACCCATTCAGACAAAAAGTGCACAAAAAACAACAACAACATGGAATCCATTCCGTGTTGGCTAGTCAATCCTGGTTGTAAGGCCTGTCATGGAGTATGGTAAAGTCTGAGACTAGATAGGTCATGGACACTAGGGGAAAACATACTCTTGCTCTGCTAAAGAAACATGGTAATAAAGTAACTAAATAAAATAAAGTAAATAAAGTAATAAATAAATAAATAAAGTAAATAAATAAAATAACATCTTGCTGTAGCAGAGCACAGCCCCATTAGAGAAGGTTCTTGCAGTGTTTGGTGATTAACACAGAGGCTCGCAGCCGGACAGCATGCTGAGACTGAGACTTTGGCACACTAGGTGCTAAGCGGGAAGTCTTTATCCACGCCCTTCCTTCAAGGCTTAGGAGTCTGCATGGAAGTGGAGGTCATGGGTGACTCCAAGAAAACAGCATGTTTCTAGACACAGCAGGACTGACACAGAGACCGACAGCTCACTTAGAACCTGCACAGGTTCAAGACAGACAATTGCGTTTCTAAACTAACTTTGAAAATGGAAAACATATTGCTCACCCCTGTTGATGTAAGTGTGCCAGGCCATGGAGGAAGAGGATCCAGGCAGTCCTGATGAGACTTAACAAACTATGGGCAGGTGGCAATAGTGGAGAACTCCCCCTTTCAGTGGATTAGGGGACGGGGATGAGGGGTGGAGGGGGGTAAGGTGGGACTGGGGGACTTAAGGGAGGGGGCGCCAGTCCAGATATATAATGAATAAATTGTGAAGAAAAAAATTAAAATTAAAAGAAAGAAAAAGTAAAATATATTTTAGAAATACCATCCGTTAGGTTTGGGAGATGGCGCAGGCGGTAAAGTGCTTGGCTATGTATGAAAGCACAAGGACCTGGGTTTGATTGCCAGCGTTCATGTGAGAGACCTGTGCACAGCAGCAGCCTTTAATCGTTTTTGGAGACATGGAGACTAGAGGATTCCTGGGGTGTGCGGGCCAGTTGCTCCAGCTGAATTGACAAGCTCCAGGTTCATTGGAAGACCCTCAGTCAAACGATTGGAGGGATTGATGAAGACACTTGATGTGGACTTCTGGGTTCTCCAAGCACACATTTATCCACACACTCAGAGATTCTTGTTTTATTTTTTGTTTGTTGTCCCCTCCCCCCCCCCCCCCCCAAACACACACAGAGACAGGGTTTCTCTGTATAACAGCCATGGCTGTCCTAGAGCTTGCTCTGCAGACCAGGCTGGCCTTGAAATCACAGAGAAACACCTGCTTCTATCTCCCAAGTACACTGGGGGATTAAAGGTGTACACTACCACCACCTGGCTCAGATTCTATTCTTTAGAGTATCATCAACACTGAGGCCTGACCTCCATAGAACCTGTTTCTTCATCTTCATATGCCCATCTTCAAAGGGAGTACGAGTGTGAATGTAGTAGGATTACTCTAACAGTTGTTTTCTGTCATATTTCCTTGCAATATAAAAATACTGTTAGAGGGGCTAGATGAGTTTTTCCAGAGGACCCACTTTGGGTTCCCAGCACCCACTTATAATTGCCTGTACTCTAGGAAGATCCGATCCTTCTGGGCCTCTGTGGCCATAGACACTCAAGTGCACACGCCTACACACAGACATTTCAATATGTAATGAAAAATAAAACAAAATACCCAAACCAACCAACCAGCCTCCGGCTCTAAAAAGCTGCTACAGGAGTCAGTTGTGGTACTTAGTGGTGGATGTGCATCTAGGGAAGTAGAAGGTGGTTTTGTTGAGGGTCGGTACAGAAAACTAGACCACACCTAGGCTGCACGGCATGCTAAGCCATGTATGCATGTGTGCCTGACCACAGCATCATGTGGCATTACTGTAATGTAGACTTAATAGTTTTCAAGGTTGCCTCAGAGGAAAGGTGTGGGATTAGGAATGAACGTGATTCATCTCTCACTGACCGATTTTCAGTACATATTAAAGAAAACAGACATTTAGAGCTGAAAGTCATTTTAGAAATATGTGATCCCTTCATTTTATATAAAACATAAACAATTTCTGTGATTCTTCCTTTCTCCATTATAGTGATGCTTTCGACATACAATATGGAGTTGTGGTTATCCGCCTAAAGGAAGGACTGGATATATCACACCTTCAAGGACAAGGTAAGTACTCTTCAACATCAGGTTTTATTTTTAAAAGTATGAATTACTTTGTTAGAAATGCTAATTGTGTCTAATTGTTACACATTCTTTACTGACTTTCATGATTACCATCTTCACGTCATGTACTCTTACCGTCTTAAGATCAGATGTGCTTGGAAGCCACCAATATCTGTCTTTTCTTTGTACCAGCGTATATGACCGCTAATTATTATTAACAGAGAGAGTAAATTTTTCATAGCCTAAAGAGTGGCAGACATTAGTTATGATTTAAATTGACCAAATTTGTTTAAAAATTAGGATGAAAAATATTTATATCATTACCAAAATATTTAATCACTACTTAGGCTGTAAAGGTATTAAATAGTACAGTGCATAATCTTTAAATTAGTTTAAAAATTAAGGTTAAGACCTAAATTAAAATACGATTTTCTTACCAATTTTATAAAAATGGAAATTTCCATATCCTTCAAAGATTTTCTTTTGCTGATTTTAAAATATTAATACTATTTTATAGTATTATACTATAGAATACTATTATACTATAGAATAGCTACTATTTTCCCTTATCAGTTAATTAATGAAATAATCAGATTAGCTGAGTTTACATAGACAAGAAGCATATCTAAATTTTGTAATCTGTTCATGGACTTAAACTTCTTAATTTCATACTCTGCTTAAGGAATAGTCTGCAACTTTGAAGAAATACTTTGAGGTCTCTGAGTAAAAAAGGTTGATTTGTTGTAAATCTGTTTTCTTTTTCTGGAATAAACCTGGCAAAACCTCATTTGAAGTCTCATAACAGTGACTAAATTTAGAGAAGCTGACTCATACCCATTGATGCTGCATAATTAGCAGCTATACTCCCTTTCACTCAGAAGAAGAATTCAGTTCTCTCATTTACTGGGGCTTGGGTGTGACTGAAATATTTAAAAAGTATCTTATATATTTATGATCATTATGAAGTGCTTTTTTGTTGTTGTTTGTTCATCCTGCCTTTATTACCTTCTTAGTTTTGGATTACCAACAATAATAAAAATACTTTTCAGAACAGGCAGCACAGCCTCATTGTATGTACCTTCTAGAGGGAAAAAGGTTTTGGCAGAGGGACAAGGTTACTGCTGTTAGCCCAGGACTGTAGCTGTGTGGCCAGTGAAATGTGGGCCTTCTCTCCTTTTCCCCTCAATGTCCCTTTCCTCATAGAACAAGGGGTTCCTCCCAGATTGATGCAAATAGAGAAGTAGCTGCCTTTTATTGAATACAGAAGTTACTCAAATATTCCTTGTGCTCTGAGGCTTTCCTGCAGTTTCTTTTTTATTTTATTATAATTTATTCACTTTATATCCTGATTGTAGCCCCCTCCCTCATCTCCTCCTGATCCAACCCTCCAATACTCTTCCCCCTATCCCTCTTCTCAGTCCACTGAAAGGGGAGTCCTCCTCCTCTGCCATCTGACCCTAGCCTATCAGGTCTCATCAGGACTGCCTGGATCCTCTTCCTCTGTGGACTGGGAAGGCGACCCCACCATGGAGAAGTGATCAAAGAGCAGGCAACTGAGTTCATGTCAGAGACAGCCCCTGCTTCCTTTTCCAGGGGTCCCACATGGAGACTGAGCTGCCCATGGGCTACATCCGAGCAGGGCATCTAGGTCCTTTCCCTGCATGATCTTTTGTTCCATCAGTAAGGTCTGGTGTTGGACCCAGGTAGATTTTTCTAAAACCTCCAGCCTTTTCCCAGAATTTTATAGCCTGGACAAGTCTTGAAACTTGTCTGTCAGTGCCTAGTGGCATCCCTCATTGTGTTGTTATGAACATTAAAGAAGTAAATCCTTTTAACCCTGAGTTCAGTGCTGGATCCTGGCTCCCATATCTTCTCTTGTTTCTCTCCATTCACACAAATCAGTGATGGGGATTATGGACAAATTATAAATTTTGTGTTGTATTTTTTTATACATGTTTTACAGTTAAAAGTTAAATATTTACTAATTATTTGCCAAAATCTGAAAATGCTTTAAGAAGAATTGGTATGTTCAGTGGACTTATTAGGAAAAGGCTGTACCTCTGACATTGACTTTGTAGTTCCTGAATAATTTTCTAGGATAATTTTCCTCTGTGTACATGTGAACATTTGTCACCTATAACTACCTTTGAGAGTGGACCTTTTTGACAGCCTTTTTGCCTGCTGTGTTCTATTTTTGTGTGAATTTCTCATTCATTACTTACTCTCCAGAACCTAACTTAGCCATTTGTGGTTGACATATATAGTCATTTTAAGCATTCTGGGTGTTTCTAAAGAAATCAGTTATCACAAGGAATACTGATTAGCTTTTAATTATTAAACCATAATACTTTGAATAGTTAAAATACTATTTTTGATACTGTTTTAAATAATTTCATATCTACAGAAGAACTATTGTCTTCACAAGAAAAATCACCTGGCACCAAGGATGTGGTAGTAAATGTGGACTACAGTAAAAAGTCAGATCAAGATACTTACAAATCATCTGGTGAAAAATCTATTTCACATAAAGGTAATTTTCATTCATACAAGATTTTATTAACAGTTATATTTTAATTTGGAGGGGATTGGCCTTTGTATATAATATATGTTACAGACTTCCTTTTCTCAATCTAAACGTTGTTCATTTATAGTTGGTCAGGTTAAAAATTGTAGCTCAAAACTGACCACAAAATAAGGAACAATTTTAAGGTATTTGCTTGCCTTAAACAAGTAAAACAGAGGTCATGCCAGTTAGTTACTAACATGGTCTTAAGTTGTTTGCATTAAATATTTTTGTTTGAACTTGGGAAGAACATGTACTTTTTCATGAGGCTTACAGATAATTTTATCCACAAACTTCTGTGTCATGTAAGAAGGAAGAGGGATGACTTCCAAATCTTACTCTCCCACCCTCACTCTCCAACCTCTGTTCAGACTCGTATCTCCATCTGTCCTGTTCCAACTGATACGCAACAAGAAAGAAATCTGCACTGTAAATCATCAAGCCATAGTGTACTTTTGATTTCTCTAAGATGACTACCATTCTTTTCATGGAATTGTTAGCCTTGGACACACCATGTCTCTGTGCAATTTATCTTTTAGATTATTTGAAAGCGTTAATGTTGCTTTTTATTCTTTTTCTTCCTGTGTAACGTGCCTAGTATAGTGGTAGAAAGTGTAGCTTGCACACATTCCCTCAATCCTTGGTGGCTTTGTTATTATTTTCTGTGTTGTCTGTACACTAGCTTTTTCTGTTCATTTTTTTTGCATTTATTTTAATTTATATGTATATTCTTTTACCTTCTTCCATTTTCTTGCCTGAAACTGATTCTTCTAGTCTATGGGAACTCAGTGCACTCAGTCACATTGATCATTTCCTAGGAGCTACTCTGTGCTCACATCCAGGTGGATGTTAGCATATACATTAACTTATTAAAGGATAGGAAGCTAGGTTAGTACACATCTCCTCTGTTGTAAACATTTATATGCACTTAGCCCAACTTAAAGAGTCATTTCGGGGGTGGGTAAGAAGACCCAGTGGGAAAAATGCATTAACTAAGTCTCATGACTTGAATTTGGTCCTCAGAGTAGAGGAGATAACAGACTCCTACAAGATGTTCTCTGCCTTTCATGCATCTACATAAGTAATATAGTAATTTTAAATGTCACGGTGTCTTTGACATTTAAATTCCTTTTCTATAAACTGCCTATCACTATATTTTCAAAAGCAGATATTAAGTATTACTTTATAACAGAAATATTTGAAACGTAGGTGTTTTTCTAAATAACAAACATAAAAAGTAACAGTTATGTAACTTGATTTTCTGTTTTCTATTTTGAAAATTCTCAAAATCAGCATAGATAATACAAGAGAAATGGATAATATGTAAAAATTCTTCAGGATTAGTAACATTATAATATAGTTATATAGTCACATTATTTGGTTTTATCTGTCTTGCCTACAAAGGCAAAAAAAAAAAAAAAAAAAAAAGAGGAATACCCTATAAGTGCTTGGTTTGTGCCATCCCTAAGCTCAGTTAATCTATGCCTATAATTTCTCAGCCTTAAGAGTTATGTACATTTTTGCCAGTAAGAAAGCAAGGCATTTACTAGCCAGCTCTGGCTCGTACAAGACAGTCCTAATGAGATTATCTGAAGCCGGGGAGTCTTTCGGGATCCCACTGCAGAAAGTTCATTTCTAACTCTCAAGTTTGTTTGCCTTAAACAAATAAATTTACATTCAGGGGGATAAAAGAGTTAGGAAAAGTGTTTACACAGAAAACAAATTGGTGAATATTTAAATATAAGCTGGTAAATATAAATGACTCCTCTATATAAAACAAGACATCTGTCTTTGATTAAATTCCTTACTATTGCAAGTGCTGATTGACTTGTACTAATACTAGGTGCGTTTAGTCTTTTGTGTAGTGATGTAGTGACATGCTTAAAGGCTATGTATTACCTGCGAAGATAATTGCTCAAAGTCATGCTTCCACTCTACATGCTGTAGTTTGACATTATTAACCAAATTCAAGTTTGAAAGATTAAAGTTTACACAATCTGCTGGCTCTTTTTGAATAATTTTACGGAAATAAAATTTCAGGGTGGGTGTTAATCATTCACTCGGTATGGTCTTTGTAGAAAATATGTTTTTAAAATATTGAACACTCAGTATAGAAGATATTAATTTTCAGTCTTAGTTATTTCTCATGGGCTGTTGCTTCACATTGTCTTGTTTATAATGTACTCTAATTACATTTCCATATTTTATGATTATAAAGACAATTAACTTCATATTTTGTGTTTTTTAAACATAATCTAGATGAGGAAGAGGATGGCAAGACTCCAACTCAGCCACTGTTGAAAAAAGGCAGGCATTTTTCATCATTTTATTTTAATTCCCCTTTTCATACTGTTAACTCTTTAATTCCAACCCTATTATTTTCCTTTTATTTTAATTTAGTTTTAATTTCCATGGTGAGGTGATATTACAGTTATCTATTAAATGCAGATTAGAAAAATTATTATTATTTAAACTAAAGCATTAAATCTCACTGGGACAAGCTGTGATTTCAGAGTCTTTTGAACCATCATAGTGTTTCTGAAATACTCAAACCTGGAAAGGCAGGGTTTTTTTTGCTTTTTTGTTTTTTTTTCCTTAATTTAAACTGCATGGTTTAGATGACAAGAAGGGACACTGGAGTAGGTTTATTTGCAGTGTCACTTACATTCTTTACCATCAGTTGTACCTAGCCAAATTCTCGATTTTGATACTAATATATTTTTCATTTCAAAAATTGCAATATTTCTCACAGTCATGCTGCGTTTGGGAGATACACAGTCATGTCAGCGTACATGAATTTTATGAGAAGGAGATAGAGGTGAGAGTTACGGAGCAGTGTGGTTTGGTAGCCATATTATTTCATCATGCAAAATCATTTGTCATGTTTGCTTACATCATGGCAGCATGAAAAGTGAGTGATGGACCTTCTGGACAAATGACCAGAGTGCCTTCTGTGAATTTCTGTTCTCAAGGTTGTGGCAATGGAGTTTCATAATAGTCATTTGCTTGCCCACGGAGTCAATGCTGATTTCCCTTTCAGTTCCTAGAAGTGTAAATGGGAACTCCTTTCAGTCATGCAGCAAATTTGTATTTTTCCAAGGAGTTCCCACCATCTTTCCGTGATTCACAGAAAGATGTGGTTATATGGCTTTTAAAAATGGGGTATCCCCTGTTGAGAGGAAAGACAGTAGATGAACAAACTTCCCTGATAATTTTAAGAGTGATTGGCGTTTCTCCAGTCATCTTGCAAATACAGCTTGTTATTTAATACCTTTCAGCTCATTGAGATACCAGATAATACAAGAAATCTCAAGAAACAAATGTAAAGCTTGATTTGTTAGCCTAAAATAGCTTTTCAAAAAAAAAAATTAAACTCTGTCAATACTTGTTTGGTATTTAGGATACCTGCACATTCACAGAACACTTCAGAACACTGGACATTAGGATAATTTGGATGAGTTTACCTATTTAAACAAAAGGTCCTTTTTTGTACCCATTATTTGTTATAAGCTACTTCAGGCTTATGATGGAAGCCATATACAGCTGTCTGCATATAAACATATCTGAATTTACAAATGCTAGGAAATTCTAGGAATACAGTGAAAAGAGATTTAACATTTCCCTATGTCATAATTTTTTTGCCTAATCCTTCAGAATCCAAAGGTCCTGTTGCACCTTTAAATGTAGCTGACCAAAAGCTTCTTGAAGCTAGCACACAGTTTCAGAAAAAACAAGGGAAGAATACTATAGATGTCTGGTGGCTTTTTGATGATGGAGGTAAGCCGTTGCTTTACATTGAGTTATAGTAAATGGGTTTTGAGAACAAGTTGAAAATAATTTTTGTTTGCAGTATTAGTAGTTTAAAAAGGACTTACTGTATTTTTATAATTCAGGTTTGACTTTGTTGATACCCTATCTTCTGACTACCAAGAAAAAGTGGAAAGATTGTAAGATTCGAGTATTCATTGGAGGAAAAATAAACAGAATAGATCATGATCGGAGAGCGTAAGTTTGTTTTAAGTTGGAGAGTATTACTCAAATAACCCTATCATGATAGAGATTTGATAAAATAAAAACCACATAGGCCCTGAAGTATTAACCCTACTGCAAAAGTCTCATTAAATAGAACCTCATCCTCTTTAATTGCGCCATTTCTAAGGAACTCTGGTCTAAACTTCTTGCTGGCAGCTTGGCTGGTTTCTGCTTCCAGGCACCTGGTCCACTGGTCTCAGAATCTTCTCTATAGCTTGGCTTGTCTCAGAGTGACTTTCAGCAGCTTTATTGCTTACTCTGGGAGGGAGGAGTCCTGTGAGTTTAAGAAACTTCCGGAAGCTTTTTGAGTTACCTTCCTGCTTTAAGAGCTTCCCTCCAGGATAAAGCGTATCAAACTTGGAAAAAGCTGTTATGTAACAAAGTGATGCATTCTAGAACTGGACTCTACTGTATTACCCCCTTTCCTCTTAGTTAATATTTGAGACTATTCATGTTTTTTTTTAATTTTAATTGTATGGGCTCTATAATGCTTAGTGGGTTGTAGTTAAGAGATACTAGAATTTAGTTAGGTATTTTTCATTTCAACACTAAATTATGTAAGAAATGTTTCTCATGTCTTACTTTTTAAAGTTTTTTCATTAAACATAAGGTCTTGTTTTGTTGACTGCTTTTCTTGGATGTTTCAGCGTTCTGTTGTTACCTCCAGTATTTGTATGAGCTAATTCAGGAAATTTGTACAGCAGCTGATACACTTTCCTTTTATGTCATTTTATCACGTATGTAGACAGTGAAAATACCTGTTAAATCCTTTACACCCCTGAATGTTATTCTTTTTTTTCTTTTTTTTTTTTAAATTTTTTTAATATTAGTTACAGTTTATTCACTTTGTATCCCAGCTGTATCCCCCTTCCTCATTCCCTCCCAATCCCACCCTCCTTCCTTCATCTCCTCCCTCCCCCTTTCCAAGTCCACTGATAGGGGAGGACCTCCTCCCCTTTCATCTGACCCTGGTTTATCAGATATCTTCAGGACTGGCTGCAATGTCCTCCTCTGTGGCCTAACAGGGCTGCTCCTCCCTCAGGGCAAGGGAGGAGGAAGGGAGGTCAAAGAGCCCACCATTGAGTTCATGTCAGAAATAGTCCCTGTTCCCCTTACTAGGGTACCCACTTGGATACTGAGCTACCATGGGCTACATCTGAGCACAGGTTCTAGGTTATATCCATACATGGTCCTTGGCTGGAGAAACAATCTCATAAAAGACCCCTCTACCCATATATATTTGGTCCTTGTGGAGCTTCTGTCCTCTCCAGGTCATATTAACTCCCCCTTCTTTCATATAATTCCCTGCACTATGCCAAAAGTTTGGTTATGAGTCTTAGTATCTGTTTTGATACACTGCTAGGGAGAGTGTTTCAGAGGCCCTCTCTGGTAGGCTCCTGTCCTGTTACTTGTTTTCTCCTACATCCAATGTCCATCCCGTTTGTCTTTCTAAGTGAGGATTGATCATCTTACCCAGGTTCCTCCTTCTTGCTTATCTTCTTTAAGTGTATAGATTTCAGTATGTTTATCCTCTCTTATAGGTCTATATAAGAGTCTTTCTGCTTCTGGGATACCTCACTCAGGATGATCTTTTCTAGGTCCCACCATTTGCCTGCAAATTTCATGATTTCCTTGTTTTTAATTGCTGACTAGTATTCTATTGTGTAAAAGTACCACAACAGAGAGATGCAAATCCAAACGACCCTGAGATTTCACCTGATACCCATCAGAATGGCTAAGATCAAAAACTCAAGTGACAACCCATGCTGGAGAAAGGGAAACCCTCCTCCATTGCTGGTGGGAATGCAAACTTGTACAACTACTTTGGAAATTAATCTGGCGCTTCCTCAGACAACTAGGAATAGCGCTTTTTCAAGATCCAGCCATACCACTTCTAGGCGTATATCCAAAAGATGCTCAAGTACACAACAAAGACATTTGCTCAGCCATGTTTGTAGCAGTTTATTTGTAATAGCCAGAACCTGGAAACAACCCAGATGTCCCTCAGTTGAGAAATGGATACAGAAATTGTGGTACTTTACACAACTGAATGCTATTCTTTTTGTTACAGAATGGCTACTTTACTTAGCAAATTCCGAATAGACTTCTCTGATATCATGGTCCTAGGAGATATCAACACTAAACCAAAGAAAGAAAAGTAAGTTGCTGGATAAATTATTCTATGTAAATTTTCAATTCAATTGCCATATGCAGACACAGATAATTTAAAATGAAATGATTACCTGGGCTTTTTTCTGCCCTGAGTTATGTGAAACCATATGGTACTTGGCTTACGGTGATCCTGGAGTAGTAAGCTTTAAGGAATTCTCAGTTTTCAGACGATTGCACTTCTTTACATGCTTTCTGAAAATTGTTAGTCCCACAGAAATTCTGGATAGGTTTTAAATACCAGATGTTTCTTGCCTACAATCAATAAAAGCATTTTATCCCAACTTTCCATACACATCGCTTCTATTTTATACATTTTTGTGAAAGTCTGAGAGTTTCCCTATAATAGTTGTAGTCAAGAGTCTCTTACTCAGTTTATAGTCTTAAGATTGTTTTCCTGAAAATGGCACAGAGAGGCAGGTATTGTCTGTGTTTTTATTGTGCATAACATAATTATTTTTAGGAATGTCTTGAATAAGGTACAGAGCTGGGATAAGGGTTATGTTTTCCAAGAGTTAGAAAAGATTTGCTGTTTGAGCAAAGTTGTATTTGGCTTACCACTCAGGAATCATTTTGGTTATGTGACACTCTTTAGGTTGAGGGGTTGACACAGGCAAGGGCCAAATCTGCTCAGTGTGAGAGACTGGAAAGTACTGTTTTCTAACTAAATTATAAAAATTGTTCTAAGTTATTGTTTACTATTAAGATATCCCCAATACAATAAGATTGTTGGTATTCTTTCTATTCTTTAAAGTATTGTCACTTTTGATGACATGATTGAGCCATACAGACTTCATGAAGATGATAAAGAACAGGAGATTGCAGATAAAATGAAAGAAGATGAGCCTTGGCGAATAACAGATAATGAGCTTGAGCTTTATAAAACTAAGGTATTCCTCATTTTCTGTCTCATTTTTAAATCATACATGTGATTTAAAAGAATTAAAATTATTGATGCTATAAATACCAAGCACTGTGATTTGATACAGGGAAAAACAATTTTGTAAGTTAAACCTGCGTTAAGGTCATTTATATATGAATGGTGAGAAGCAGCATCAAATAGTTTTCTAAATAGTATTTTATTACAGAAAGTTTGTTTTTGTTTTTACTACTTGTTTTACAAACCATGCTGTTTCTTCTCCCTTTTCTTTTTCGTTTTTCTTTCTCTTCCTCTTCTCTTGTCCTTCTCTTTTCTTCTCCTTCCTTTTTCTCCTCCTCCTCCTTTGATAGTGCAGAAGCTCTAACACATGGCTACATGGGCGTACACACTATACACCAAGCTACAATCTGCTTTACACTGTTCAAAGTTCTAATTATAGTATATTTAAGAATGATTCTGTTGTTTTACATTGCAGACATATCGGCAGATCAGGTTAAATGAATTATTAAAGGAGCATTCAAGCACAGCTAATATTATTGTCATGTAAGTATTGTTGGAATAAGGTTTAGGTTATTTTTTAAAAACTGTATGCTTGTATCTATGTGTCTCTCTGTTTGCTAGGATAACAGTACTTACTGGCTTTTAAAAAGTTCTTTTTAGAATTTTAGATACGAGTATTGTATATACATCATTCTCTTCTTCCCTGTCCTCCCTTTCATCTCCTCGCATGTCTACCTTGATTTTTTCAAATTTGTGTTTTTTTCTTAATTATTATTGTTATGACAAATAATTGTTAAAATATACTGTTGTCGTGCCCACTGAGTCCACTGGTATCATACTGCTGGGTCCAGTTAGTCTTGCTCATAGTATATGTTATTAGGGCTGACCACTTTTAATTGACTAACCATCTAGGGGCCTCATCCCTGAAGAAGACTAATTGCCTTTAGCTTTTCATGTAGGGTGAAGCTTCGTGAAATGTTTCTCATCCACATTGTACACCAGCTAATGTTGTCATTGTTCGGGTCTTATTTAAGGGGCACAACTTCTATCGTATATTGAATCCACTAACTCACAGCAGATGTGTAGGTCCTTTGGCTTTTACAGTCTTTTCTGTCGTCTCTTTAGCCATGTTCCCTGACCCTTAGATACAGGGGTTGTGTTGTAGATGTATCAAATGGGGTTGAGTACCCT